GGTGTGCTGTTGGACTGTGGGGAGTCCATTGGGGTCCCGTGGCATCCTGGGCTACCCTGCCGCCAACCGCCGCGCCAGGAGCGTGTGATAGCATCCTTATCCCAGAGGCGAACACCCTCGATCCATTCCGCGGTCATGACCCGCTTGGAGCTCAGTTCACGATAGACCTTGGGGATGTAGACACGATTGCGGAGGCGCGACTCCCCTGCAACGAGTCTGGCCATGTGCTCCGAGTTATCAGCTTCATTCTCGAAGTCCGTCTCCAGAAATAGGCGCTCGCTGACATAGGGAACCAAAGAGTAAAACGGGATATCAAACACACGGCTGTAGACCCAGGTCACGACCCTATCGTTTGTCAGTAGGTAGCCAAACCCGGCTCAGAAGGGAGGGCAAGTTTACTTAAACGCCCATAGATCCCATTGAATCTGCTGCGCAATTTCCCGCTTCTGGACCTTCACCGCAACCTCCCTTCCATCGGCCAAGCGAGCCCAATGAACCTGCGCTACACTGGCGCTGGCTCTGGCCCTGCGCTCCATGACACCTTTAGTGGGATCGCCTGTGAACGACACGCCAAAGACTTCCTCCGGGGACTTGCCGAAATCCTCACGGATGACCTTCTCCACGTCCTTCCAATCGTTCTGCGGGGCATCGTCGAACATACGCGAGAACATTTTCTGGAACTCGGGCGGCAGGATGGCCGACTGCATCGCGACTGCTTGACCGATCTTGAGGTAGAGGCCGCCATTCTGCCGCAGCAAATCTGACAGTCTCTCGGCGTTGCGCGTGTGTAGATGATTGATGGACTTGGCGAGGAGAGGATTTGGGCGGAAATTGATCTTATAGTCCAGCGCCACAATTAGACCTAGGGTGAAGGTCCGGGCTGTTCTCGTCAGGGAGGATGCGTAGAACTGGGTATCGATCGCATAGACCACGCCGGTGGCTAGCGACAGATAGACAAGGCGTCGGAGCCATTTGCGGGACCGATCGTAGGTCTTCGCGGGGGCGGGTTTCCCGAGCTCGCTCGGGGACGGCGGGACGAAAGGCTGGTAGGCACCGGGGTGTACAAATCGAGCGAACTGAGGGGAATTGAAGTGTGGAAGCAAACGAGGACGTGGGTGCGATCGGAGGATAGAGTAGGTGGTCGTGTGTGCAGTTGGTGTGGACCGCAATGCGCGGGCGACCGACGTCATTGACGCCATTCGGAGGTGTCGAGGGGAGATATTGATCAGGCCAGGCTTATCATGATGCACTCGTGTAAGGATCAGCAAAGAATAAAGAAGATTAGGAGGTTACTGGATAAGTATAAAGTAAGGAATGGTGAGGGGAACAGGGGAAGGCTATAATAGTTTGAAAGGAAAGGTGCTGACAAGTCCAGACCCTAAAAGATGATTATATGTCCGTGGAATCTCCGATCCTTAATCCCGTGATATCAAGCATGTACATACTGTGTGTGGTGTAGTCACTCTATACATCGTCTTATCTATACATTTATTCGTAGACTATAATTCCTCATGTACTATCCCCTGATCGAGCTCCGGCACTCCATCTCCCAAGGTCTGGCACACGCTGGCATATTCCCTCATATTGTTGGGGATAGTCTCCTCCCACAGCGTGTCGGTCTTCAGATACTCGTACTGCTCCCGACAAACCTCCTCGCTGATCATAGGCAACAATGTCGGCAAATTGATTATCGCCGCCCGGACGAAATTTGTCTTGAAACAATTTCCGAAGCCCGCCAGCGTCTCCGAGTCCGAACAAAGATCGCCGCCATGCAGCATCGAACCACAACGACGCTTGATAATGTCCGCCGCGTCGTCTCCCAGTTTAATCATCGCCGCTTCATGTCGCGGCGCATCTAAGCGTTTCGTTATGCTGCGCACGGCGGGGATGAAGGAGTTGTTTCTCGTCCAGAGATCCCAATGCGGAACCGTCGGTCGACAGCCTTGGTCGCAGATGTGCTCTTGGAATTTAGCAAAGAGATCGCCCGGACGAGCGGCCAGCGCCGTGACGACTTTCAAGCATGAGGTGTTGATCCCAGCTGAAGCGCAATCGATGTTGAGGAAGAGGAGAAAAGAAAGAACGAAGCGGCCTACGAAGAGGCGCATGGCGATTCTATTGAAGAAGTCACAATGTGCTCGCAAGTTGTAGAAGTGAATTTTCAGGAGGGCGATCGAGCGTGGCTAAAAATTGGGAGGAACGAAATGGTTCTCGACCCAATTTATGGGGATGATCGACGCTTTCCCCGCATCCAATCCATCAATCCATCAATTTATGTCTCTCGGCATCAGAAAATGCAAAGCGACATATTTCACATGGAAAATTCATGGCCGACTCACAGGTTCGTGTCTCTGACACTAGTACCGGATTTGATCTTAGGGATTAAAACGTCTTCCTTTTGTACACCTCCTATTTCACCATACTAGGGCTATGTATATATATACTTGTCTCCAAAACACCAACTTTCACCCCGCATCCATGAACTTGACTCCTTGAATTCCCTCAGCTCTTCATCAGGCAGTTGTCAAATTTTAGCCTCAACAAATCTTCTCTTTCCCCCGTGTATAGGTTCAAGACACGGACGCTGCTGTCACTGACCCCTCCGGTCTAGCGAGTGAGCCCAGTGTTTAAACCCCTCGGAATGGGAAATATCCTCGGTGTCTCCATATTATAGACATAACAACGGTCCGAGGAATACCTTGGGTTATTAGAGGACTACGCTAATGCGGCTGCGGACTAGTTCAATATCCCATTGGATTTGGCGGCAGACATGGACTCGGAGACGGTTCTGGCATAAACCTGGATTCTACCTCCTAGACATCTATTTAGTAAGAAGTTATACAAATCACATCGCTTTAATATAGCTCGACGAGGCCAGTTTATAGATCGGACAAGTCGGAAACAGACGCACAGTAGTATGCACTCCCGTCATGACTATTGTTTCACCTCTAGACTAGGGCTATATAGATAAACCATTGGTATGTGCAAGTGATATGGTGAAACAGACGAAATTGTAAATTCATCATGGATTTTTAATACCAGTATAAAGGAACGATGAATACCGCACGCCCTGATCTTCTACTTCAATATCAAGTATTTTACCGTATATTTTGGGCTTATTTCCATGCTTATTATTGATTCAGCTTCTACATGAGCTCACTCAGGATTTGGGTATCCCCAAGAGAGAATTGAAAGAGGCCTTTAGGGCCTGGATATCTTAGGATTCTGAAGAGGATCAGCTGTTGTCCTGTTGAAATTGAATGCACTATTCTGGTGGCGGCGCCTTCCTCGACGGTGAAGGGCATCCTAAGACAAATAGTATATACAACACAGGTGCATCTGCACAACTAGAGACGAGGTGTATATCTTAGCTGCTTTGCTGATACTATGCCTGATGTAGCATAAGGACAAATATACAAAAAAAAAAAGGTATAGTTGGATTCTTGATCAAGACACAGTATTGTTAGTCCTCTTGAGGCTATCTTCATATCTTTCTATACTTCTGCTTTTTGAGTGCCTAAGGCATGGATCAGGAACATGTGAAACAAACAACTTACCTCACACCGCCCAACAATCTCCGCCCGGCAAAAAAAGCAAATTTCCAAATTTGCCCAACTTTTGATACGGTTTTTTCCCCCTCATCGTTATTATCTTTACATTCTTTGGGGAGTTTCCTTTCTTCTCTGGTCTTTCTGTTGTTGGTATATTCAGGACTATAAAACTACATCTTACTTTTCAGCCTTCTACTTTCATTCCAGTTCACGGGACCATTATAAACAACATGGGTGACAAGAAGCGCAAGATCGTCGAAAACAACCCCGAGGAGGCCATTGAGCCCGAGGGAAAGAAGGCAAAGCGCGAGGAGAAGAAAGAGAAGAAGCGCAAGTCGAAGGACACCGTGGAAGATGTGAAGGTGGAGGATACCGGCGCGAAGGAGCAGATCAAATCGGAGAAAAAAGAGAAGAAAGAGAAGAAGGACAAGAAGGACAAGAAAGAGAAAAAGGAAAAGAAGGAGAAAAAAGAAAAGAAGGAAAAGAAAGGAAAGAAGGAGGAGAGCGAGGAGGATGCGCCGCAGGTAAACGGTGCCGAGGAAGAGAAGCAGGAAACCGCCGATGCAATGGATGTGGATGAGAAGCCAACCGAGGGGAGCGAGGACAAGGTAGATAAGAAGGCCCAGGAGAAGAAAGAACGGAAAGAGAAGGCGAAGCAGGAAAAGAAGGCCAGAAAGGAAAAGAAGAAGGCCGAGGCCCAGGAGCAACAGCCGGAGTCCAACGGGCAGCAATCTCACGCTGAACCTGCTGAGAATGACGCCCCGAAGCAGAAAGGTTCCCGGTTCATTTGCTTTGTCGGTGCGTTCGGCCAGTCTCTCCCCATGAGTATCCCATCATTCCTAATGTGCTTGGCTAGGAAATCTGCCCTACTCTGCCAACCATGAGTCCTTGTCCGCCCACTTCGAAAAGATTGCCCCAGTCTCCGTACGTGTTGCTACTCAGATAGACAAACCGACCAAGTGCCGTGGGTTCGGCTTCATTGAGTTCGATAATTACGATCGCATGAAGACCTGCCTCAAGCTGTATCACCACTCGATGTTCGATGATAAGAAGTACCCGCCCCGGAGGATCAATGTTGAATTGACGTGAGCATCCGTTCTGGACTAATTCCGGTCTACTGTACATCTTACTGACCCTCTTCCCAGTGCTGGTGGCGGTGGTAACAACGAGAACCGCAAAGCTAAGATCGAAGCGAAGAACAAGAAGCTTTTCGAAGAAAGGCAGCGCAACGCCAAGTCCATCCAACAGGAGAAGGACAGGAAAACCAAGGTTGAAGAAACTGGCGTTGACGAATATGCGGGTGTGCACCCCAGCCGACTGAGTCGCATGGCATAGTTTCCTCCTTCTCCCGTGACTCCCGTCCTCGATTCCATATAGGCTCATGTTTGATCTGTCAAAAGTGTTTGTTTTTGTATTGTGTTTATAGAGATATCCTTTCCGTTCTCTTTCTTCCAGCGGATGCTAGGTGAAATGCGTAAGACAGGAATGAAAAAGCAAAACGACTTCGAATGCATAATCGTCCATTTCCAAATGACTACCGCTCGCTAAGATGCATGCATCGCAATCACACCCGCAGCATGCATGGTTGTCACTACGTCCCTTTATGAGACCCAACCACCCGAGACAAGAACCGAAAGAAAAACAAACAGGAAAGAAACAGCAAATAACAACCCCATCAAGCGACATTCATTGCATGATATTGTATGGCGTGTTACATCTTTATACTGTATTAAAGGAGAGGTAAAAGAGATGACGGGTCAGAGCATCTGGGCTCCCAAAACAACATCAAAATCGTAGCTTCGAGCCAAGGAGGGAAAAATGCAGCCAGTGAATAAGGAACAAGAGAATTGAAAGATATTGTCATCATAGGGGATAGATTCCCCAACAACCCAGACGCCGTACTAGTTCTTTATATTATAGTCGGAGGAAAATTATAAGAATCGATCTACAGAATCAAACATTTGGTCTTCTTCGGCTTCGTGGCGGGTCGTGGATTGAGAACAGCACTAGATCCAGGCAAGTTAACCTCAGAACCCCGAGTCTTGCGTTGGCGTGGGCCGACCTACCGAATAGCTTCGTCGAAGACGCTCTTCAGATTACGCTGTGTCAGAGCCGAACATTCGAGATATTTGTGTGCACGGATTTCCTTAGCAACGGCGAGGGCTTGTTCGTAGGAAACCGGTTCCATCTTTCGTTGACGAAGGGCGTCTGTCGTTGCTGGGTCGTCTCTCAGATCGAGCTTCGTTCCAACCAGAATAATGGGGACATTGGGCGCGTGGTGTTCAATCTCCGGGAACCACTGCACAAAGGTTAGTTAGGCTGGACGCAATCGACCCCCGGGGGCGAGTGTTCCACGAGGGTCGCTTGGAAGGAGTAAGCACCTTAGCTTTGACGTTGTCGAACGACGGAGGGCTGACGATGGAGAAACAGATAAGAAAGACATCGGTTTGCGGATAGGACAACGGGCGAAGTCGGTCATAATCTTCCTGTCCAGCAGTATCCCAGAGTCCTAGGCTGATCGGTCGGCCATCTACCATCACACTAGCGGTGTAGTTGTCAAATCTGGGGTCCAGGTCAACCACGGGTTCGGTTCAGACAGATATAGGGAAGAGAGGGCCACGGACACGGTCGGTATATACTCCCCAGGGAAAGCGTTGGTTGTGTAGGCGATCAGGAGACATGTCTGGTTGGGTCCAGGATTAGCCGATGGAGTTGACGAATGGACTAGAAATCACCATAGAAAGAGCTTTGACTTACTTTTCCAACAGCACCGTCACCAGTGACTACACACTATACATGGTCGTCTATTAGTCGCGGTGTGATCGATCGACAGATAAGCTACGGGGGAGCTGGCGAGTGCTGACCTTCAAAGATTGGGTAGCGGGACCGGTCGCCATTCTTTCAGAAGCTGCAATATATGGAGGCAAAAGGGGCAATTGCAGCGATAAGAGATGCGCAGCGGGCGAACAGTCAACTGGACGACAGTCGGGGCGTTATAAGTAGGTGGGTTGTTGGCGGTGGAAAAGCAACGTGGACCGTGGACGGGTATCTGCAATTCGGACAGAGCGCAGAGGGGAGAATAGATCGATATTTAACACGGCGAATCGCAAGACGCTATGGAATCGATGAATAGGATAAAGAGAATCAAATACGATGGGAAGACAAATAGAGAAATATGAAGAAGAGAGACGGTGAAGAAAGGGAAGTTGAACCAGAACGACCGCCAAATGCAGTAGACAGCGAATGGGAGTGCGGAGAGTTCAAGGAGAATAAGAGGGAGAGGGAGAAACTGGGAAGGGAAGAAGACCGAGAGGGGGCAATTGAAAGACGAGAGAGGAGGGGGAATAAGTTCGGGGCCAACGTAAAGGGAGAGAGAGAGAGAGAGAGCTTTCGATAGCTCACCTGAATTTTAAGGTATTCAAGAAAAGAGGGAAAAAAAATCAAAAATCAAAAATGGAAAATGGAAAATACAAAAAATAGAAATAAATAATAACAATCCAGAATTAATTAATTAATTAATCTATCAACTCCATCAATTCAATCCTATCCAGCCAACTATATTGCTTTCTCCGATATTATGACGCGAACATCAGATTTTCCTTCCTCGGCTGGTTTGCCTGAGCCCCAAATCACCCCTAAATCGAAATCATCCTTCAATCGATAGCAGGGAAAATCAACACTGAATGGCTGGTGGTTAAGCGCCAATGATATGGGAAAGTCCGAGGCGACTACACGGTTGTTGCTTAAGGTCGAGTCGGCTGGGGATTTTGGAAGCACTAAACCAACTTTTAGTTTGTTAGCCTGGTTAGGACCCTACAGTATGATACTAGGTACTTGGACGCGGTCTCTTCCTGTATGCTGACTGGCAATCGTTCTCTACCTCTCCATCTGCGTTCTCCTCGAATCACGCCTCATTCTGGTTGTCTTTCTGTGGCCCTTACTATAATTATAGCCAATTCCTGCACTTCCTCGCCGACATCCAAGGTACAGTTGTTGAGGAAGTTTGGTTCAGGGGCGGTACCAAAAGTCGTTCATGACAGACTTACATAACACTTACCATAGTATCTAACTAACAAACTAGCTCCCTCTTGTCTCTTATCGTAGAAAACAAAATAGATTCATACTGTATGTATGTATGTACTTATGCACTAGTCTGTACATCCATACGTCCCAGCATTAAAGCGTTACCGTACCGTATCCTAATTCCTTTAGCCTCCGTCACTATCAAAACAGAAAACAAGTGAAGATACATAATTTATAACCCTACCAGGTCACATTCAAGGGCTCTAATTCTAATCCCATAAACAAAAGGAAAAAGAAAAATAGAGAACAGAAAAGAAAAAGAAGCCAACCGGATGATAGCCACCATTGGCAGTGGCTGCATTGACCGCCACCAAAAAAACGAAACCTCCTCCCCAATCGGTATTTTTAGATCCCATCCATTGTTTGCGACTGGTTGGAGTCTCCGCATTTATGCCTCCATCCTGGTGTGATATCATGCAAGCCAAGTATGCATGGCCCTACAGGTGGCGCTCAATCGGATTACGATTTGGATGATCCCTCGGGTCTATCGCATCCGTAAAAGAATACGTAGTAGCGACTATATCAGCATTCCATTATAGTACTGTCTATCGACTGGCGAGTCAACCATCACTATACTACTACTAACCAAAAGACAAATGAAATATAACCCTGTTGGAGAATAAAGACAGAAAGACAGAATAGGGAACATAAATAGAAAAAGACAAAACAAAAAAAAAAATAGAAACATTAAGAAGGATTATGACTGAACCCGAGTAACGCCAACCGAGGAAGGAAGAATCCCATGTCCAACCTTCACATCGTACGGCCGCTCCATCAGCCCAGCCGCTTTGCTGCCGAATTCCTGGAAATATGGACTGAGCAGGTGCATGTGGAGTGCATCCTGGTCTCTGTACCTGTTCGTCCATGAGCCATCGGACCTCAGACTGGCCACCGAGGTTCAACATACCTTTCCACGACCATTATCTCATTTCCATCTTTTATAGAAAAGGCATAGTAAACTAACGTATCGGGTTCGGTGGCATGTACTTGGCGGGTGAGTTCCGAGATATGACTTGAGAGCTAGTGACGTTATTTCTTGTCAGCGGTCAAATTCTCTCGAGAGAAAGTCGAACGCATCCTGAAAAGCAATACATAGTATATGTTACGCCGTAGTGGTGAAGGGGAAGGGGACTTCACTTACTTCGTCATGCTTGCCGGGCTTAGGGTACATGATGGCCACCACATTCACCTCTTCAGAAGCCATTTTGCGATGGTCAGTTACTGGGATTGCCAATCTGATCGATAATATGTACGAAAGATGATCCAGGCCACGCAGGAAGCAAAAGGGATGTCATGGTTGACCGACAGGATATGCGGGGGATTCGATTCATCCCTGCGCGATGACTAACAAACTTGGTATGTGTTGTGTATGAATGCGGTTGGATCCCCAACTGCGATCGCATTGAATATCTAGCTAAAAAAGTATATACAATGAAACTGGTATCCACAATGAACTTTTCTTTTTGGTTCTCCCTCTTACGTTGAAATGTGATCGGGATCAAAGGAACCTGCCGCCCAGATGGTGGTACAAGTGCGTCTACATAACGGGAGGAGCAACAAACGAGTCCGGAATTCCGTCAAACACCCAGTTGAGAGAATCAAACACCTCGGAAAATCCGACATCGCTAATAAATGCTCCATTTTGGTCGAAGTTGGGCGCGTACATCAGCCCGGGGTCCTCCAGCGAATCGTCCTGTCGAGAAACAGGGCCAGCCGTCGCCGACAGGTTCGGGTTGGCTAGAGAAGCTGCACCAATAAGCTACAGGTACGAAGAAGAAGGAAAAGAGGAGACATACCTTGAGCATCTTCGACGCTCTTGACCGGCCGGAATCGTTGCCGCCAACGCCAAACGGTATCATAGACATGGCTCATACTCATTCGGCAGCGCACCTTCAGCAGTAAAGCCTCCTCTCCGCTGGGATCGGAGCCCCCCGCATTCCACATCTGAGCTAAAATATCGGCCAGACGCACCGGACGGTCGTGATCCATGACGCTAATCCGCCGGATGGCTGAAATGGCACCATTGAACAGAAGCTTCCCGTGGTCGAAGTCAATGTGGCGACTAAAGTCACTTTTCAACAACTTCATCAGGGCAAACGCAGCGGATACGATCATTTGAAGAATATAATTAGTCGCATGGCCAATCAGCTCCCCAGGAGATGTTTCGAGATCTAATACTCGTCCAAGGAATGACGTGGTGGCAATGAAAAGTTTCGTTAAATCGTCACTTCGTGGGTTAGAACCTAAAAATACAAAGTACCGCAAATGCAGCTCAGCTGCTCGTAGATGGATCATGTTGATGTCTAACGGAGACCATATTAGACCTCGTTCGAGAACAAAGGGGCGCAGACGAGACTTACTAGAGATATCTCGGCCAAGATCGACCTCCATGTCCCTCAGCTCATTTTCCAACAGCTGCACAATCAACAACTTCTCAGAGCTAATAAACTCCGCGGGTTCAGGTTTACTGCTGTACAATGACTTCGTCACTCGATCACAGAACTTCTCGATTCGCAATCGAGTTTGAAGGTCATGGGAAGGGTGATAATCCGCGTCTTGGAGAGACGCTGGCTCAAGCGCCCAGTCGTAGATAGTGCCAGGCGGTTGCCCGTAGCCAGTAGCAACACTAGTGCAGTGAGAGTTAGCGCTACATGTATCAGTGTAGAACAGGATGACTTACTTCTGAGCTACAATATTACATATCGCCCATGTTTGTATTCGATCTTTTACAGCCTCCCCTTGGACTTCCATCCGGAAGGTTGTGAACTCCTCCGGTTGCACCGGCCGATGCAATCCCAGTTGCATGGCAATCTGCATCATCAGTCCGCTAAGCATAAAGGTCGCGTCGGTTATTTGACTTGTCGTGGGGAGCGGCCACGTGCAGAGAAGACAAAGAGCTTTCACCACACGATAGTCCTGCGGAATTCCGGTAATCGTTGACCACAGGAGTCGATTAAAGGGGCCAGAGAGTGCAGTGAGAAGTCCAGGCTCTGATGGAGCCCGTCGACTTGCGACGCAGAGAATCGTCCATGCCTGCAGGGGGCAACGACGAAGATACTCTTCGGGAGGCTTTTGGGGATTCAAAAGCGGTAGGAAGGGATGATAGTATTTAAAGTACCTGACCTGTTGTTAGGGTTGACAGGGGCCTGAATCCAAGGAGGGAACTGATTACTGTTCAAATAACCGTGCGACTCTTGGCCGGGACAGTGAAACATCTTCCAATCTCCACATATTGTCCTCCTGGGACATAATGGAGGCACCCCTCTGGATGGATAACGGGGTCGCCAAGGGCTGTGCTTCCAGCGGAGCAGATAGCGTTCGTGTTCTGTTCGAAACGGCCGAATCAGGGCCACAGAACACCTCTTCTGAACATGGGGATAGCTCGTCGCTAACTGCTGCTTCCACGCCATGAGGTTCAGCAGAAGTAGCCAGTCGTCGACGTAGCTCTGCGATCTCCTTTTCCATCTCTGCATTACGCCTGTTTGAAGCACAGTCAGCCATGTAGGATTCGCTTGACTTTGGGCCCGATGGTTAAGTTTTACCTTCTTTTCGAGATGCGCTTGAAGCTAGGTTCGACCTTGCATTCTATTTGAAGTCGCCGACAGCGTGAGCACGCTGCGGCGGGCGTCTGTACAATATCACACCGCAACTACGGTGTGCGAATCCCCATGTTTAGCCAGTGGTTCGTGATGGAGATAGAGTACGCAACGACGGTGGAGGCCAGAATTAGGAGGCGCGATACGCTTATTCTATCTTGAGGCAGATGGGCTAGAGGAGAGAAGTGGTGGATGCAGGCTTACCTTTTGCTGCTTACACTCATTACAAGCCTTTCTACTACCACCCCGGCGCTTCCCCGTGATTGGGGGAATCTTCTCCATTTCGCAAGGTTCCGAGCTCCTGGCTGATAGATCGAAACTTGTGACGGGCCGGGGCATTCTGGGGTTGTTCCGAAGGTCGCTGGGAGTGCCCGAAGGCGTTAAGAGACTCGCATGTGTAGGCAGTCCATGCGGTGCCATGACACCCCGGAACTCCAGGTCCATCAGTATAAATCAGACGTCGCCCGCCGGTATGGAACAGCGGGGCCCATTGACACATGCGAAACGAAGAGGGAAACGGTCAAGGAACCAGGTTACGTTCCGGAAATCGGAAGAAAAGTTCAGGTGTTGAAGTGTCGCGAAACTCGGAGGTTGCTGACAGGCTGACTCATCACTGGCCTGAGGCATCTCTCCAGAGTAAGTACACCAGTACTGTCTGCGTGCACCTGATTTAACCTGCGGTCTCCAGTTCCTCTCTTCATACTGATCACTGGGCATATTATGATACTATACAGTATATTTAGTATGGTACCCATTACGTATCGCCACCATTCATCCATGCTATGATACAAAGAGTTCATGCCAAAACGGACATCAGAACTGTACACCACTTTAGCAGTCAGCTCTCAAGATCGTCAACCTTCTAAAGATATGAACATGGATCTATGCTGGAGATTGAATTTACTCCGAGTCAAGAATTAAATAAATGCATCACTGGGAGTACAAAGTACCGTGTACTCGGACGGTTGTCTAGTATCCACACAAAGTCACGGGAATGGACAGAGCAGTGAAGCCTAATGACGTCGGCGTCACTGCCACACCACACCAGCTAAAAACTGCGCCACTAAGCCGAGAAGCGTAAGGTGTTCTGGGAGGAATTTTGGTACCTGAACCGCCATTTACCTAAATTAGGTACTATATTCTGCCTCCACCCCCCACCGCCCAACCATTACTCCGTATGCTTCCAAGCTGCTTTAACCAACACCAACTTACGTTATCCATTGAAACTATCATTAGGCTTCCGCGATCTACAAAACCAACTTCAGTTCTCTCTTTTTACTTCCGGCACACTGTTCGTTTTCTCTATCGTTCGCTACCCGTATTATTATTCTCTATGGCAGACGTCAGTCTCCACGATGGCCCTGCGCCTTCTGCGCCGTCCCCGCGAGATGCCGATGCGCCACGAGCAAGTGCTGATTCCGCCGGCCACTCGGCGACGCCGGCGATCTCAGATGAGCTTAAGGCTCGTATGGACAAAGTTGTTTACTCAGATGTAAATAATCGTCCATTAAGTTCAATCATTGAAAGGCTAGGTTACTGATTGGAACTTGTATCACATAGATCGGCATCACCACCCTCCTGACCCGGTTGAAACAAAGCGTCGCCTCGGCTAGGGTTCGTCCACGGATCGGTGACCCCTTAATGTTGCCATCGTGCTGACCACAGAAAATCCAGGATTTCTCAACATTCCTTAAGAAGCGATCTTCTCTGGAAGAGGAGCATGCTCAAGGCTTGCGAAAATTGTCCCGCTCTCTCCTCGATGCCTCCGTCCGCACCGATAACCGTCAAGGTACCTATGGCCAGAGCCATAATGACCTGAGTCGATTTCATGACCGCATGGCGGATCATGGACTGCAGTTCGCGGTGTCCCTGCAGCAGATGGCTGATAATCTTCATGAGTTAGCGTCAAATATTGAGCGAGGTCGCAAGCAGTGGAAACAAACCGGCCTGAGTGCGGAAAAGAGAGTGCTGGAGGCAGAGGCAGCAGCGGAGAAAGCGAAGGCCAAATACGAATCGCTTGCGGAGCAATACGATCGGGTAAAGACAGGAGATAAGCAGGGTGGAAAGTTTGGTCTAAAGGGTCCAAAGTCGGCCGCTCAGCATGAGGAAGAGCTGTTCCGCAAGGTCCAAAATGCAGACTCGGATTATGCGTCCAAAGTACAAGCGGCCCAAGCGGCCCGGCAGGAGTTGGTTTCCACCCACCGACCTCAAGCTGTGCACAACATCCAGCAATTGATCTCGGAATGTGACTCTGGCCTTACGTTGCAGATGCAGAAGTTCGGTACGCTTATACCTTCTCGGTATTCATGACGCCACGGTTTCATTACTGACTGTGCTTAGCAACTTTTAACGAGAAACTTCTACTGGGTCAGGGATTATCTATCAGTCCCCTGAAAGATAGTGCGGGGAATGCTGCCACCGCACCGAAGAGTCTCTATGAAGTTATCCATCAGATTGATAATGACAAAGACTACCGCGATTATGTGCTAAGCCATCAGAATAATCCTGGGGCGGTAACTTCAGAACAGATTAAGTATGAACGCCATCCGGTAAGTTCCATAAGCCCCAGCTTTCTCTCTATCTATTAACCCCTGCCCTCAGACACTTGGAGGTACTACTGGGCCTGTTGTCCCAGCCTCTCAGACTAGTACACAAAACAAACGCAATTCGTCAATGTTGCTTCAGTCATATTCTCAGCAACATCTTCCGGCTCAGTCTTCGCAACAGTCTCCCGCACCAGCACCACCAGTTGCAGCCCCCGTTCCAAACACTCCGCAGTCGTCTTACCCGCACAATCCAGACTCTTACTCATCCTCAACATTCCAGCCGCCTTATCCAGTGAGCGAAGGTCCCGCTGTGCCGGAAAAGCAGCCCTTAAATCCGCCATCCCTGGCAGCGGCACCGACCCCGTTGCCACCAGCTGGAGGAACTGGAGGCAACTTCCAGCAGCACCTTCCCCCGTTGAAACCAGTCTTTGGGGTTTCTTTGGAAGATTTGTATTTGAGAGATGGAACCGCCGTTCCAATGATTGTGTACCAATGCTTCCAAGCCATTGAACTTTTTGGCCTGGATATGGAGGGCATTTATCGACTTTCCGGAAGTGCGAATCATATCAACCAGATGAAACAACTTTTTGATAATGGTGGGCCAGCCCTTGTCTCACAGATGCAGAGATCTTGCTCTAACATTTCGTCATCAGATTCAGCGCAGGTCGATTTCACAACCCCAGAAAACTTTTATCATGACGTAAACAGTGTTGCTGGGTTACTCAAGCAGTTCTTTAGAGATTTGCCTGACCCTCTGTTCACATCGCAGTCTTATGCTGACTTCATCAACGCAGCCCGTAAGCTGTTAACTCCCGGATTCAGGACCTTCTTTATCGTACTGACATCTGCTTCAGGCATTGACGATGATGTTCAGCGTCGAGACTCACTTCATGCGCTTGTAAATAATCTTCCCGACGCACACTACGCCACACTGAGAGCCTTGACCCTGGTATGTTCTCAGTCCCATGCTCTGTACAGTCCAAAGTCTAATCTGCTTGATTTTAGCATCTCCATAAGGTGCAGGAACATTACACCCAAAACCGTATGAACGCAGGAAACATTGCCATCTGTTTCGGGTAAGTCAACGTATTCACCCTGTCAGGAGCCGTACAAAAGTTAACCATATATTTTGCTATTAGACCTACTCTTATGGGTGCCAATTCCGGCGGCAATGTCGCCGACGCTGGTTGGCAAGTCCGGGTTATAGAGACGGTTCTTTTGAACACTTTCCAGATCTTCGATGATGATTAGTTGCGCCTCGAGAACAAAAGGCCATGGCCACCTTTCTTCGTTTGCCTTGCCTTGCAAGCCGACTTCCTTTTTCTAACGTATGTATATAGTGATATTTGGACCGGTGAAATATCCTGATGAGATATCATTACTTGCCTATAATGTAATTCTAGTGGATTTAGCGCAATCAAGTCATCTTCAGTTCGGTTTTGATCATGTCACGTTCTTTCTATGATTGAATTGACGAAGCCTGTTGGATAATTACAAGTTGGAAAATGACAGCAAAAATCGGATATAGTACAAATGATGAAGTGTGGCAATGCGAAGTCCTTCGAGAGCCCGCTGAATACATGGTGAGAATGCAAAAACCCGGGAACATGGGGTAGTTTTAAGACACGGGTAGAATCGAAGTTGGCTGTCAGAGGCACAGCATGATCCTGTAAGGGGGGAAGATGAAGTGAGATGACATTCTCAACGAAAAGCCAGGGCACTTTTTGTACGTCGTGACGAGGCAATGACATGCCTCTCGCTCATTCTGGAGATGAGTGCCAGGAGTCTGGGCTCTACCTCTTAGCCATTAGGGGCTCGTTATACAGCTATTGGCGTGATTTCTGCGTATGATGGGGCTTATTTCTTTCCTTGAAACTGTTCCTTCATGGCCTCCATACGCTCTGCAAACGTCAGTCCGGAGACGAACATGGGGTTGGCGAGATCTTCCACAGTGGTAGGCGTAGCGTGGCCCCAAATGCGCCAGTCCTCGTCCTCGCCATACCACCGAAGCTTCTGGAGAACAATGTATTCGGTGCAGTCTTGTTGCTTGGGCGGAGCGGTAGACTCGACGGAGACTTCAGACTTGCCCGTCTTGACCACCTTGGACTTCCCAGTAGACTGTCTGCTTGTGATACGCACCACGACCTGTCGCACTCCAGAATCGGGGATCTCGGGGATTTGAGTAGCACGGTCCGACAACACACGGATTCCGGTGAGAAGAGTTGCTGGAGTGCGGTTGTATTTGTCAAGAGACCAGCTGACTTTCTCATCCCTGGGGCGGTTGGAGATACGGGAGGAAAGGTTGTTGGCAAGGCCGGTGCAGCAGACCTTGCGCAGGGTACTGATGTCTCCCCTGTGTGACGGATGGCATGATCAGGATCTCACCAGCCCGCGGCATGTGGATTGGGTAGAACTTACTTAGCGAACGCAGAGTACATGCGCTGGTGGAGCTCACGAGCAGCCTGCCGACGCTCCTTCAGACGGAGCGGTAAACCAGAATTAAACCATTTGCAATAAGCGACAAGACTGTCCGCCAGTTAGTTTCTTGCACTCATCCTAGCAGATCACTTCCGCGCATCGCGGTGCTCCGCATTTTCGTTTATCGTAAAAGACGAGAATACAACGAACAGTGAAAGGCAATGGCATACCCCAAGAAATTCTGGAATCCCGATTTCAACCAAAGCCACTCCAATTGCAGACGCTCCCGCGGTTGTTGAAAGATCGAAGGCATATCCCTCCAGAGCGGGCGAACGTATGTGCCTGGCAGCAACCCAATATCCTGAGGCAATTCAGACCTTGACAGACCCATCCCCCTCGTCGCCATACTTGGTTGAGCTGGTTGTTTGATGGAAATGTTTTCGGGAATTCCCCGCATGGCACTGCGTTGGGACGACTGCGAAAGAAACCGGCATTGACAGGAGTACAGTTGGAAAACGGCGTTATTGGAGCGGACGGCCGTAAAGACGGGCCCCTTTGACAGCGAGGACGCCATTGTGAAGTAAGGCCACGAGAACCTCGAGCAGAACGAATTGAGAGTCGAGTCAAAGAGAACCAATGATCAAGACCGCAAAAGAAATCCCGACGGGATGGCTCACGTGATATCAACTCCGCCCGTCATTTCTCAGAACGTTCGGCCAGCCGTGCTCTCTCCGATTCGCACGCTAGGTCATGGCGTCGACTTTATCGGCAGCTTCCTAAAGGACGGATCTATCGCTGGCATATGAAGTCGTCTCGTCGCTGACTGTGCGCTGTGCTGTGCTGCTCGGAATCCGACTTGTTGTCAACAACCCGTCATCTTCGCCGATAGAAACCGACCTTGTTTACGGGATAGTCCTCGATAGGATTGACTCCTATCACTTCCAGTCTTTGCTTTCTCACCAGTTTCTCAATCCTTCTGCGCAACGGCCGCATATGCCGTATCATAAGGCTGGCTCCTCCTCGTGATGCTCCCCCGCCCTTCTCTCCCCACGCCCGATACCCCCCTGAAGCTGCTCGTTTGAGTACTCTCGACCCGGACTTGCGCTCGCAACTCTTAGCCTCAATCTCGAACTTCCCGGCGGACGCCTACGAAAAAAGACGTGGCTTCCCCAGCCGCTACTGCTGCTATCGTCCCGTCGTCCCACGAACCCTCTACACCCCAGATCCCCAACAGCAATGATTCCGGTCACGCAACGGTTCCCTCCGCTTTGCATCCGCGAGTGGCTGTCATATTGGGAGTAGACCGGAAATGGTACCTCCCTCTCCTGATCTGTCGGGCACTGAGCACGGTGCCCGCAGCATGGTGGGGGCTCCGGTGTGCCTTCACCTTCCTGGCTGAATTGCTCCACATACAGGCGGGAATGGGGCATGAGGGGTGGACGGCGGCGATTGTCGATAGTATCAATCAAGAGTGGGATGTTGAAAGAAGATTCAGGGTGACTGAGGTGGCCCTGGCGATTATGTGGGTATGTATGAGCCTCTCTGGCGGGAGGTCTATGGGGATAGCGATCCCATGAAAATCCCAACGTCCACGCATAAGATCATCTTGACGAAACAGTGAACTAACAGAAAGCCTACTCTAGTGCTGTGCATCTGCTTATCTTTCGTATTTCTTTGCCGATTGTATGATGTCTCGATGGTGAGTTTGTGTCTCAGCCCCTCTAAATCTATATACCAGTCTGAGACTGACATTCATTCTACAGGCTTTTGAATTATACCCCACCGGCTGTTGTTATTCGTCTCCTTACTACCAACGGATTGATTGCTTATATATCTTCATGGGTCCTCTACCTTTCGGGTGCATCTTCAGATCCGCGCCTTCTCCTTCCGGCCTGGATATCCATCACAACTGTAAGTCTGCCACTCACTCCGCTGCAATGAGGAATGACTGACATGTTGCTTACCCCATGGAGACTCTCACGTTCCTTTACCATGCCACCCAAAACCACGCCATGATTAAGCGCGAAACGGCGGCTGCCCTACTAGTTGTTTCCATTGCGAGTTTTGTGAGCATGTCCTCACTTCTGCTTCAGTTACATCTAACCCGAGAAAACGAACCGGAGGTCCCTGTCTTTGTTATCACTCGGAAATTATGGGACTGGGCTGTTACGATATTCCTTCGCATGCGTGTGGCGGATGATCGAGTTGGGGCGCGCGAGTTGTGATTGATGCTCCTTGGGAAACGGGTTACTATGTGAAATACTGCGCAAGCAATGAAGAGCCTTGGCCTAGTTTTCTGATCTGTTACTCGCGAAAACCATTACATATATTCCTATTGGTACCCAAAAGATCCACTGCAGATTGCAAATCGCATTGCATACATCCTATTCTGAAAATGACTGCGTTGTGAGGACAAGTTCAGAAACAACATGTGGAAGACGTAGAACGCAAGTGCAAACGAGAGATTGGCCTTCGTACCCCAGGCAACCTCCATAACATCCATCTGACAACAGACCTTCCGACACGTATTTCCTCCAAGCCGAGTAACGACAGGGATGAGGTAAGAAACAGAAGAACATCTATGCATATATTGGGTATCTACCAACGCCTCGTTCCGTCATAATCCCATTCCGAGTATAGCAGTCGAGCCCACAAAGGACCCACTCCCATCAATCGCGTGTCGCAATTGGTAGGGATCAAATTAGACAGTGCATAATAACGACAGAGGTCCCAGGTCCAGTACGCCGGGCACAGAGGGTTGAAGGTAAAAGACAAGAAGCTTAACCGAACCACCTAGATGCTGCAATTGCGTAGGGCGCAATGCAGAGTTAAGACGAAGGATAGGCGATACATGCCTTCTATCCAACCACTCCGAGGGCAAAGTAGACTGGGAAGAAGGGATCGGAACGGGGCGCGGCGTCTCCTTTAGAAACCGTGGACCTTGATAGTCTTGGCATCCAGCTCGAGACCCTCCTTCTTGTCGGTCAAGAACTCCTGAACATCTTTACGCTGATCACCTTGCAGCTGAATCACCTCGCCCATCTCACTATCAGCGACGATGGTGCCATTGCAGGCTGTACATCTGTTAGTAGGGGAAGTCCTTGCGATTATACGGTAGCGGCGCGGTAGGAACTTACCGAACTTCTTCTTGATCACCTTTAAGATCTTCTTCTGGTCAAACTTCTTAGGAAGACCCTGAACGGTAGTCAAGGTTTTTCGACCATTGCGCTCTGTAAAGGAGCGATATCAGTAACAAGTTCCAAGGGCAGGTAGAGCGATTCAACTGATAAAAGGGAATAGAAAATCCAGAAGATAGAGAGGAGAGTATGGAGGACATACGCTGAATCCGTATATGGATATAATTTTGAGACTGCTTGGTCTCGCCGGTGTCTTCGTCAGCTTCGGCGAAGGGGTCTGTTTGGGGCACGTGTCAGCCTGAGGCTCCTAAGCAGGATTACCCCGCCAAAAAATGCCATGCGGCACTGATCTGTAGAGAAAGACGATCTGCAAACGATCAAGGCCAGATCCGTGATGCAAAACATCGGATAGACCTGCTATAGCGACGCCTTTGCTCGTCCAAGGCTATCACCACCTTAAGGGGGAGTCATAGCGGGCATAGGGGAGGTGGCAAAATGGGCTTACCGAAGGTCTTGAGGTTTTCGATGGACATAAACTCGGCCTTTTCTCGAAACGGGCCCTTAAAAGCGGTTGTAGTATGAAAGCGAGGGGTAAGAGTAAAAACTCTGTAACTTGTAGCGATCGCGAGCGTTCGTAGGAGAGCTGAAGGGTGACTGGGAAGGTGTTGTTGAGGAGAAGACAAGTGAGGAAGAAGAAAGAGCCTTTTGAGGGGCGCGACCCGACTTAGCGCCTCTGTGGGGGAAGGCGGTGAATCAGTGACTAAGCCCCTGGCCGCTCATCTGCGTCTCTTCATCCAGCTGATCGGCCAGATGATCTACTATTACCTGTATTCTAGTATGGTTTTCCTATATATCAGTATTATCTCATTAAGATCTAATCCCACAGTATATGAAAAACCAGCAGGACTCAGAAACAGAAGCAAAATATCAAGACTTGTATTAGAGTAACTATTGATACATTGCCACGTGATCACGATGTACTACAGTGGCAAATCGATGACCGCATGGACATGGAAGTTTGGGTATCATCCTGAACTTCAAAACCGTCCTACCCCCTTTCTTCTTAGGTAATAAATATATGGGGCGGTATAGGATCGCAATTCAATTTTATCGCAAAGGCCACACAGTCGATATTATTCATGGGGAAGGGCTAGCAGTAGCAGCACCTGCTGGGGCCGCCGGCGGAGGCATGAATATAGGGAAATATGTCTGTACCATATGAGTAAGTACCAGACCCGATCACTAGGCAAGGCAGATAGTCAGGGAACTTGAGACGTACAACAACCAATGCCATCACTATATGCATCAGAAGTTAGTATCTATCTTGGCCTTTATTAGAGGGGGGTGGGAGACAAACATGACATGAAAACGGACATATACCCGGGAGTAGATGCCGTCCTTTTCTGATCGGGTGTTTCACCGAGCCAGTTCTGAAGCGAAAATACGAATGAGACCCTGAAAACCAGTTAGACATCTATACGGCTGATAGTAAGAAAAAGCAACCTACCACCCGATCATCCTGGATATCAAAGGATTGTCAGACAGATGACCCTATTAATGTGAACAGATGTAGTCTATCTCACCTGTTACGGGTAAACATCTACGAAATCTGTCAGCATCCCTGGAGCGCGCAACCATGAGAAATCCGGATGTCAACCTACCGCGGCCATGGGCAAGGTGCTGGTCATTGCGCCTGGACCAGAGCGTTAATAAAGCATTCCTCCCCAATTGATCCATGTAGCAGATTTAATATACCAGACATATCGGCATCATCCTTGTTGGCGGGCGGGTCGACATAGGGGATGGCTAGAGTCAGAAAACAGCAATTAGTGACTGCGTTTTCACCGTCATGAATGAGACAAGATGGGAATGGATGGTGAAATTAACGTACCGAGGTCCAACCTGCGCATGTCCTTTTTCGAAGCCATCTTCTCACAGGAAATAACTGGTGCTATTGTACAGCTTGTTCTTACGACGCTGGGAGAAAGACGGACTTGCCAGCCAAGCGGTCGTTGGCGCCAAGACTAAAGCGGTGGTCGATCGATTGGTCACTCGGCTTTATCTTCTTTCTTTATCTCCCGTCACAATGAACCATCACACATTTATATGTATGTAGTATGTATGTACCTAGATAATGCACACCGACAAGAAGAAAAAATATTTTTTGAGAGGGGTTTGGTTTCCATGCTCTCGGACTCATAGAGTTGCCTTATCTTTCACCCTAACATATTTCGGGTACAAAAATACAATAAACAAAACGGAAATCGAAAAAAGGAAAGAAAATCGATCTCTAAAGTCCAAAGTGAAATCATCCTGCCTCAAGTGTAGGGAACAGCTGAAACAGAGAATGGCTCGAACAACCTATTTCGAAAAGCAAACAGCTTTCAACCGGGCTGGTAGTCGACATATGCAAAGCACTCCTTGGTCTCAGCTAGCCATGTTCCATTTCAATTGGATCCAATACCGGTGTGCTTGCGTATACATCCAATAGCACATCAACTAGGCACGGATCCATGGTAGCCTGACGTGATTGCAACATACTTGCTTGACGTGCTAAAATTCTACGTCTTTATTCAGCTACAGCGTGTAAGTGTTTGTCTACTACGAGTAATTAGTGTGTACTCGTGCGACGATCCGGTGAGCGCAGTCAGGGATGTTCTGTAATATTGGCATAGGCAGTGGCTGAGAACGGGTGCCTATGGCATTCAGGCATCGGCAATGGAAAGACAGAGCATTGACAGGATCAACTACATCCTTTAAGCTTTACCAGACAGGGCTCTGATAGTACTAGTGTAAGAGAAAAAGAAAAAGGAACCTTACCATTATAAACATATAACGAGGGGGGGAAATAAAAATTAAAATAAAATAAAATAAAAGACAAAATGCAATACGCACAATAAAACCAACCTTGACATATCACAGTGGAAATGCGGGGATAATGAGGGTGAATCAGACAACCATATCATGCCACATTGGGGGATTGTCATGCGGAGGAAGAGGAGAAGGAGGAATTACAAGTAGTATCTGATGGCTCATCCAGAGCGAGTGGCGGAATCCGGTAGGAATGGATCGGCGGCGGCCTCTCACCACCAGAAGGTGAAACTGAGAGAGGGGAATTGGGTTTCTCGTAGTAGTAGTGTTGGGAGACAGAATCCATGGGATGTCATTCGTTTGATGCGCAGGCTGTCTGACCAACTGTCCATGGGCCAGTCGATATTGCGAATGAAGATGCAAATCATTGGTATCACTGCAGGTTATACGGGTGTACCGTACAGGTGACTACAGATAAGTATATGTATATGTACACTATGTGCAATCTCGCAGAGAAAGGGGATGACGAACGGGGAGATCGATGAAGTATCTCCAATGTCCCAGACTTCAATAAATTCCCAAGAGGCAAAGAAAGTTTTGTCAATGCCATCATTCTCGGAATTAGTTACTCAACATTGTTCCATAAGATATCTCCGATTTTCGAGAATGGGGCAATATGGGACCCATCATCTGATTGCCAAGAGACCCATCGATTTGCCGGAGAATCCGAGGACGACCCTTTTTTAGTTGGGTAATAGTATCGTCTCCAGTGATTCATTAGTGCCGTTGTTCATGTATGCTCCTCTTCCCTTATTACCCTGTGCGTGTAATTTTTCTTTTTCTCCCCCTAAAAAATCAGCAGGGAACCCACCCCGGGTGGATAATGGATATATAATATAGCAATAATGCGGGTAAAATCTGATGCAGCTTCATGGGGATGTCACCGGTATGAAAAGGAATACATACAGTACCGAACGAATCATTGTACACCTGCCAGGTGACCTTGTCATCATTCCTTAAGGGTCTGGCTCCAGACTATTAAACACTATATCACCCATCAAGGGAATGAAATTAGAAACAGACAAAGAAACAGCGATAGAGCGATCACAATTCGATTTGCATGAATCGCTCTTTAGACTCCTAATAAGGTTAAAAAGTACAGACAATCAGCTTTCAAGCTTAAGACGCATTCGGCATCCGGTATTACGCCAGTACTGGATCCATGTTTATCTCACCCACACTGTGTCAATCCCGCGTTAATTACCCGTCATCCGGTACACTTCAGTCCACCCCTCCCCCTACCGTAGGACTACCACGACGGGTACTAGTCAGTACCAGACGGTCCCATAACTCCGGGCGGTCCCATTGTATGTATGTAGTACGCCCATCCATACGTACGGATGATACCCAAAAAAGACGGACTGCCAGTTGGTCCTTCCTTACGTTATCTGAAGATCTTCCCTATCGTTCGCCGTACTCGGCTTTTCCCCCAATTCCCTCACCCTTCTCCTTCTCTGTGTTCTTCTTTCTTTTCATTCTTCAATCAATTTCCCGTCTCGACCTTTCGTTCGCGTGCCTCGCTGCCCTCTGTGCAGACTTTCCCGCCCATACTTGATCCGCACCGATTATTTCCCGACCTTTAAACACTCTATCCGCTCACCTTGCATTCCCCGACATCCTTCCGGTGACCGCTTGGCAGGAGGCATATAAACGGAGCTGGGATATATCGGTTCTTTTAGAGAGTCTCCAACGACCGTTTGCGCGCGTTCAGTCCGCTTGATCGGCCTTGTTCTGCTGTTCCAATGATCAATCTCCGGCGCGGTGATACACCATGAAGCTGAGATGATACCTCATTCTTCTGCCGGCGTCCAATCGTGGGGCCATCCCCTGCGCGCCGTCAACAGCGGCTCTGGACATGTTGATGCTTCTCAATCCGTGGGACCGTCCGACCCTCAGTTCGAGAAGCTAACAACACCTGTACCGCAGCCGCAACCCAGACAGCCGGCAGTCATCGACCTTACAACGAGTGGTGGTGATGCGCAAGAGGTGGAACCGCCGCCAAAAAGACTTCGGCTGGATTTACCTGCGGCACCCTCTGCCCGAGATGCGAGTCCTGCGCCGGGGAGCGGTGGAGAGCTGAGAAGCACCCCAGGAACAGGTGGCTCAAAGCCTCCCTCACTTTCTTGGCGCAATCGGCCGGTATGGTCCTTCCAGACTATGCTGTCCGAGGTGCCGGGGAGCAATGTGATGAATGAGGAAGATGCGACAGCGGTCGCGCAGGGAGGGAAGCCCGCATCGCCACCGTCGTTGCCGGTTTTGCCTTGGAAGTATGTTCCGGAGTCGCTCGGAGCCAATCCCACAATGTCACGAGCTAGTTCACCCGTGAAGGAGGTGCAGACGATCCCCTATCGTATCGAGACTCCTTCAGTTGCACCGGTCCTCAAAGGAGAAAGTAAGTTATTCCCCCCAAACGCCCATACAAATCAATGGACACCTTTGACCGGTAACCACAACGTTAGAGGTTGCGGATTTCTCTCCATGGACTGGGAACCACCCGGAAGATGTTCTAAACGAACAAACGGCAAAGCAGGGACACTACGACCGTACTCAGGTGTCTCAAAACGAGTCAAACACCGCACGACCCTCGTTATATGCACAGTTGAAGCACCGCTCCGGTCTGCAGATGCTCTCTTCCGTTTTTGCCGCGGCTCTGGAAAAGAGACAAAACCATAGCTTGGTGACTGCGCCGTCGACCTTTAAGCCACCTCCGCGAGTAACCCTAACGGATAATAAACGCGAGGCCTGGCTCCGTGACCTAGCTAACCCGTCTGTTCCTCTGCGTAAGTTGAGCCGAACGATTCCTCATGGTATCCGGGGAAAGGCACTCCTGGACCAATGCTTAAACAAAGGTATCCCCGTTAGCCGTGCTGTGTGGCTTGCAAAGTGTGTCGGTGCAAACGAGATCCGTGCCTTCAAGAGGAAAGGAACGAGTGGCACATTAGCGCTGGGCTTGGAAGCAAAATGGGTCCGTGACTGGACAGCAACTGTTCAGCAGTTCTTAGAAGGAGTGTTAGGTGCCTGCGGCTCTGCGCAATGGAAAATGAAGATGACATATGCGTATGTATTTAGCCTGGTATTCGTGTAATTCGAGTGCTAACGGTTCCTAGGGTGAGCTTAACTGCTCGCTTGTTCTTTGAACGTCTGCTGGACCACGACCAGTACCTTGGATGGTTCTTGTCCTCGCTAGAAGCCGCGCCGGTTAATACTGTTCCCGTTTGGCTGCTGATGCTTGGTATCTATTGGGATAATATCATGCGATATCGGAAGCGTGGGCGGCGGTTAGCCGAACTGCTGCTTGAGAAGTTGCGTCAGGTACGTGCGCTGGTGTTGATGGTTAATATCCTATTAATGAGACAGCAGGTCACCCAGCCAGAAAAGGTTGGTCCATTACAGCCCCTCGTAGATCGGTTATCTCTGTATGTCAGGAGGCTTGTTCTCGAGCATACCTCATCTGTGGTTCTTCCAGGTTCATGGGAAAAGTACAAGGAGCTTGTATCTTCCTGCTTAAACCTCAAGGACAATGTCCATAAAACGATTTACCAGAACGTCTGCGAACGCAATTCGCGGTTGCAGCTACCCAAGAACCACCAAGGGACAGCTGAACGGTCGCCACAACAGCGTGTCATTCAGTTATTCGACTCCATCCGCTCCGCGCATGATATTTCTTCCGCCTCGGCTGCATGTCTGAAAACGCTAGAGAATAAAGCTGTTCTCATTTCCAAACTCCTCGAGTGGACAGCTACACCGTTCCGTTATGGTCTCTGCCGTGTATATACTGGCGTCCGTCTTCTGCGCAAGTGGAAGATGTCTGGGATCGACGTTGATTCATTTATCCTTTCGTTCCTCGCTGATGTTCGAGTGACTAGCGCACTAAACATGGAAAACATCTACCATATTATTTCGGAGCTAGTCAGATCTCAGACATTCTCTGTAGGTAGGTATCTGCAATGGCTGATGGCGAAAGGTGTCACAAATACGTCTCAGCCGGTATCGAGTGACCTCTGCCTCCTAAAGCAACTGCCGGTCAATCGCCTCCCAGAGCATGTGCGGAATCTTCGCAATACGCTCCTTTACCGTGCTGGAATCCCGGCGATGGAGGAGGACTCTGCCATTGCAGAGCTCAAGGTATCAATTGCTCAACGACTGCCCAATATCTTCGGCGCTGAGATGGGGAGTGCAATGCCCATCGAGCCATCACAGACCAATCCTACTTGGGCTGTCAAATCTGAAATCGGACAGTGGATCCGCCGTGGAGTTGCTGGGCATTGCCGCGACTCACCTAGGTACGCTTCTCTGCTCTCTAGGAGTACTGCCCCGGCTAACAACTATAGGAAACTCTCTGTGGTCTCTGTGACGGTGGACCCAGGCGTATCCGCCCTTACTCCCGACGAATTCTACAGTGTCAGGGAGATCTTAGAGACTTTCGGTGATCTCTCGATGCTAGCAGACATACTAAAACAAGCTACTCGCTGTGATGACGATGTTGTCCTGGCTTCCGTTGCCGATACGGTCAATTGCCATTTTGACTGCTTCTGTGTAATTGGCGCTACGGCTGATCTTTTTAGGGGCCTCGTTGAGTCGTATGCTCGTCTCAAACGCCTAGGCAATGCAAGTTTAGACCTGTTGTTTTCACTCATCGAGTTAGGACTCCGAATACCCAGTGAATTCAACACCGTTGCTCTCTTGCGTCAGGACCTTACTCGCTTAGAGAGCAAGTCAGCTTTGGCAGCGCCGTCCCCGCTTTCGGATAGTATTCCCTTAGCACTCAGTGATGTTGATCCTTCATTTCAAGCAAAGTTAAACCAGCTTCTCTCGTCTGGGGGTGGCATGGACGAGTCCACGATGGATACGGTGTTCTATTCGCTTATACATATACTAGAAGGTAGTGGCAGTCCTGCCAAACTGTCAGCAAATGAAACTGCTAGGTATCTGGCTTATCTGCGGCCGTTCCAACCAAAGCATTTCGATGCTATGCTGATTCGTTGGATATGTGGGCTTTTGAAGTCCTCTACCCCGTCAATGTCTCGAGTCCTCCCTCCTCTCATCGGAGTTGGCTGCGTCACCATACATGCTTTTGTGTTTTTGGTGAAAAAGCTTTTGCAGTCGGAAAAGGTGGCTGCTGTAATTCCCAACCTGACTGGCTTGCGGGTGGAACTGCTTCAGCTTATTGTTCCTCTACTATCAGGAAAAAGTAAATATGCTGATTTGGTACGTCAACTACCATATTTTCCTCGAACGCAGCACTAAACTTGTTTGTTCAGGTCACATATCGTTTTCATGTTGCACAACAGGAGTTTTTCATGAAGCACCCTCAGGAGACCCTCGATATAATTTGCGATGCAGTTGCGTTGGTTGACTCGGGGGCTGGACTCGATTCAAGACAGCCCAACATCGCAGGTTCTGCAATAGAGTTACTCGATATCCTTCTTACACAGAATCCTGAAGTTACAGTCCAATACTGTCTGCAAGGCTTTATTGGAAAACATTCTACGTCAACAACCGTCCTTCAAAGGGCTCTGGACAACCTGTTGGGCTTTGACTCACTCACTGGTTAGTAAAGCGAATCCCGACAGTTGCTCATATTGCTAACCATACCTCCAAGGTCCACCTGCTATGTCCGAAGCAGAGAAGGTTGTCCGCATGACTGACGACTTCTCCCTTCCTTTTTGCCAGTTGAAACTCCAAATGCTTTTCAACGCAGAATCTGGCCGTGATGTGGGTAATGGTATTGTTGACGTGATGTTCAAGGCTGCTGTGGAAGATACACGCTCAAAAGGATCGAATTGGGTTGGTTTCGTGGGTCTCATGAGCCAAGATGTAATAAGACAGGTACGAAAGGACCATTGTCGCTACAACGCTTTCCTCCTAAGTTAACTTTCTTCTTTTAGATCCGGGAGCGAGCTGAAAGAGCTCTCTTTTCTATCCCACTATTCGAAGAGCATCTTGAAGCCCATGGACCCTCGGGCACAGCCAAGTCCCTGGAGACAGCAAAGCTGTACCTGACAATAATTGAGAAGCTTGCTTACAGTGTGCCCGAAGCTGGTGTACAGTCGGTGGCTCCCGTTCTCATCGAGAAGATGGATCTACTTCTCCACAGGCTTGTTATCATGCAAACCAATTTCAATAATGTCACCGCGAATAGACACGGCGCGGCTACGACTCAAATTCTTCAGTCTCGCTCAAACTTCGAGAAGGCTCTCGCTTTCTGGTTCTCTGCCTTTCTGCGGATGATTGTGATTCACCGTTCTGCGTTCACTATGCCATCTCCAGCGCCCAAGCCCAACGGCCTGCAGGAACAGTCGCGTTTGCTGATCTCGATTCTTTGCATATCTCTTGCACGCCTTCCCGACAGCGTCATACGTCTTTTCCCAGTGACTGACTATTTCCCTCACCCAATACCGTCCCAGGGCTACCGTGCTTGTCCCGGAATTCTGCTTCAGACTCATGCATTAGACGTCGCAGCCTCACTGATCGACACGTTCCCAGATGAGGCTCGGCAACATTGCGCCCGTTTCCTCAAAGAAAAGTGTCCACCCTTCCTTCAGTATCAAAATGACTCGAGATTTATCTACCTTCTCGGTCCCATGAGCGATGCAGCAGCACCGAATAGCCTGCAGGCTGCTTCTCTTCCATCACCTGCCGCCGCTGGTTCTACTCCAACACCAACACCGTCGGGCGCCCTGCCGGGCGCTCCATCTAACCCACAAACACCTGCCGTGACTCCTGCAGGCTCCTCCGCTAGTCTTTCAGAAGGTATTAATTGCGTTGCCAGCCATCTTCGTCTCCAATATCGGGGTCGTGTTATGGGACCCTACCCGGTACGTCCTTGGGAGCTCCTTGAAGATGCCGCACCTATCGTAGGGGTGAATGATACCGCTGTGAGCCTCAAATATTTCGATGCCAGGCGAGTTCGGGCTTAGATTCTCTCTACCGCCTACGTCTCTGGTCTATAGCCATCCTCTTATATCCCCGTACATAATTTCCTTTCTTCTGGTTCCTGGGTTGTTTCTGTTCACCGCTTGATACCATCTCCCTCTGCATATAACTTTGCCTCGCTGACCTTGCAACACGATCGTACCATTTGGCTCAAGCACACATCCAGTTCTGTCATGTTCCGTTACTAGGGTCTATTTGCATGTGTGATATCTTTTTCCTTTGCTTTGTTTCTTTCTTATCTATTCCAAGCATTGCGACTATGCTTTATGGCGATATATCTGGCAGCAACATGCGCTTGTTACAAGCCCTCGTTTTGTACCATGAGATTTGTATATAGAGAAGGTCTGGCGTATATTGGGTGGGCGGGTCATAGCATATGGGTTCGCATATTTAGCATATAGTCTGAACAATAGCATCATCTTATGAATACAAGGATCACAAAGACCAACGAACCTGGAGCTGGTGTAGAACAAAAGTTGATTGCAATCCGAACGAGTAATTTGGTAGACGGAGACAGCTGACTTGCCTATATTTGCAGTTCATGAGATTGATCATAGGCTTAAGCTGACCGCTCAAGATAAACAAAAATGGTTGAAACTACACAGTTCATATTTGTCCAAGTATAAAAGAAAAGAGTCATACGATGCATATATACCAATGGGCAAAAAGATGCATGTAGGGTATCACTACCCGGAATAAGAACAGACAACAAAAAGATCGAACACCCAGCCTTGATTAACGCCAACCACATTATACATCATTGGATGAAGCTAAAAGACGAGGATGTGGATCCGCTTCTCCTCCGCCCCATACCGTTCACGAAACTCGGGCCGCGTGAGCAACTTCAAAAGTGGAAGATGGGTTTCTTTCATGTCGAAGATACCACGCTGTTTCTGATCAACATAGGATCCGTCAATCACGATACGCTGTAGTTCGCCAAGTTTGAGGGAGCCTGTAGAAGTCAGCTCAGGTCCAGCCTACTTTAAACACTCAAATGTGAGGTAACCATACCAGCATCGATCAGGTCGGAGATACGAGCGGGTGTTCCGCCTCCAATGGCAATGCTTGAGGAAAGTCAGTTGAAGTATAAGGGAATTAAACGGGTGCAAAACATACCGTGATCGCTCCAGAAACTTCTTGGCTTCTTCCAGCTTGATATGCTTTGCAAACAGCTTACCAATTGGAGATTCCTTGGTTTGGAATGTACGGAGGGCTCTGCAACAAGATGGTCAGCACGGATCCATTCGGTAGATAGAGCGCTCATTGGCTGTAACCCACCTCACTGCATCAGCTGCTCGGAGTCCAGATGGAGAGACAACCAGGGTGTGCGGTGTGCCTTTCTCCTCTGACGGCCTCGAGAGATCGGATCCTTTAGGGCTGAAAGCCTTCAAAAAAGCTGGTAGCTTCTCCAGTTGTCTGGCCGAGTCAAACGATGATGTGTCGAGGAATGATGATTCTTGGATCGTTAGCACTAAGAAGTGTCCTTGAGTTTGGCAATAACATACCCGGAACACTAAGATCACTCAATTCGACTGCAGTCAGCTCCTTATTGTGGCGCTTAGCTTCTGCATGAAATGATCTGCCAACAGGCGGCCGTCCATCTTGCCAATAGCTTCATCACAACCGCCTTTGGTCTCGGTTTGCTTGGTGTCTCTCTGCTCCTTCTCCGATGCATCTTGCTGGGGCTTATCCTTCTTGTCTTTCCCACCCTTCTTTGGCTTGGATTTGCCCTTCTTGCTTTTCTTGTTACTCGGACCGTCTGCATTGCCAGCAGCCGCCTCGGTCTGTTTCGAGGATTCCTCAGCTTGCCTCTTGCGCTTGTTGTTGATCTTGGCCGAGAGGCGGATGGATTTGCCGTTTCTGCAGACATTGTGCCTTAGTATCTCTATATATTTCCTAAGAGTGAAAGGAACAAAACATTCAATGGTTAGAATTCGAGTATCATAGTAAGACTTCCAGATCCGCAGCAACTTTTTTTATGCTGAGTCAGCTGGCTTATCGATAAGCCACGGCCAATGATACTCCAACTCCATGTCATCGACAACGCGCCTCCCACCGAAGAACAACAAGCCCCTCTTGCGAATTCGGGGCATGCGCCGTTGCCTAATCATCTTCAGACTTTCTCAATGACATGTCCAATCCTGTGCGACTATCTCTCATAATAATTTAGGAAGCAATTGTTTCATATAATCTCATAGCAGTACAAATGTCGACGACCCCTAAACCGCGTGGCCGCCAGTCACCGCGAAAGTCCGACATCTCCGAATCCTTCACTCCTGTAGGAGATACCACACTTACGGGGGTGAGCACACTGGGTCCGACTGTAATTAAACTTGTATATACTAATCAGTGGACGGCTGCAGCTTCAGCGTCTTCCCATCCATACCAGATACCCCCTCACCCCCGGCCGGTTAGCAGCATCAGGAACGCCGTCGCGACGAACGCCACGCAACAGAGCTGCTGCTGCACCATCAACGCCATATGGATTACGGGCGATGCAGCGCCGAGCGGCAAATACGCCCGCGCGTGATCGTAGGAAAAGTGGACGGATGCAGAGGGAAACGACATTTGATATCCTACGGAATCTCGGTAGAGGTATGTGAGCCAAATGAGCTCATATCATATGCGTGCGGTTTGCGTGCTATGAGTGTATCAAATGCATACTAAATCCAGGTATTAGCTCTTGCGCCTGTGTCCCAGCCTATTCGTTCATCGCCGCAAGAAAAACCAGAGCCAGAGCCGGAACCGGAGAAGGATGAGATCGAAGAGCTCGACAACGAACCGGAGATTGAACGCCCCCGATTGTCCTTGCCGTTAGAGGAAGAAGAGGAGCAGGAGGAGGCGAGTCCCGAGCCACGTCCACCCAGGCTCTCCTTGGCCTTTGAAGAAGAGGATATCACGGTCGAATACCCCCGACGGGCTACGAGCGAACACGACAGAGCAAGATTATCTATGATGAGTTTCGGTAACCCTCGGCTGAGTGAGAACTTTGGTGATGCGACCCGGTTGGAAAGCGACTCGGAGGATGGTGACGACACAGGTATCGAGCATGATGAAGACCGAGTGAATGAGGACGAAACTGTCATGAGTCAAGGTGCTTTTGATAGAGGGTGGGTGGTATTCTCCCGACGGATTGGACTATAATGGCTAATATAGATAAAGAGGAGAGACGGAAGACCTCGGGAGATTCAATTTTGACTTCAACTTCCCATCCCCGCCTCCACCTCCGGCTGATGACATGGACGGACCCCTCAATGATGATGAAGGGTTCGAGCTTCCGCCCGTTGATCTGCCCCAGGACACAGCCCCGGTGTCTGACGACAGTGATGATGATGCTGCTGCCGCCAGAGCCGGTGAATTCGGCCTGGATCTCCACATGCCATCTCGCGTCTCTCTAAGCGAAAGCCCTGGTATCGTCGGAGGAGGATTGCGTGACGAAGACACTGTTATAGTGAAGGGAAAGCAAAAGAAGCTCTCCCGATACGGCATCCCTGTTCCCAACATGCCGTCAGGGGTGATTCGAAAGTTGGCTACGCGATTTGCGCCAGCGAGGGCTGGTTCTAAAGCTAAGATCAGCAAGTCCACCTTAGCTGCTATTGAACAAGCGTCATCATGGTATTTTGAGCAGGTCGCCGAAGATCTAGCGGCATATTCCAAACATGCGGGGCGGAAGACTATTGATGAGAGTGATGTTATTACTTTGATGAGACGGTGAGCTGGGACAAACCCTTCTACCTAGGCTATGCTGACTCGTCAACTTTCTAGACAACGCCATATTAACAACTCTACGAGTGTTTTCTCTCTGGCATCAAAGCATTTACCGAGGGAACTGCTGCAGGACATGAGATTGTCAATGCCTCCATGAATAATATACATGGTACGGATTCCGTAACAAACACACTGAACGCCACCAATAGTTGCAAACAACGAAAGATGCCAAGGGATATCACCAATTTACATTTTGGCGAACACGACGAGTCGCCTCATTGGGCCTTTTACGTATGATCATCCACAACATGATTGATGTTGCGAAGCACAGCCCGTACCTACGTAAGGTCAGTCACAGTTTCCGCTAGTAGGATATTCGGACATTCATGGGAAACCTACCATGTGAAGATGTACTGGCTGTGATTGTTTCGCAAATTCACTTCGGCGCCGCGAGCGATAGGGATACCCTTGCCACTTCTGTTATACCATTCAACCATGTCCGCAACTAAAGAAGTTAATATCGGTCATGTCAATCTTCGTGCTAGAGGCAGGCTCACTCATAGTCTCTTCAATCCATACCGGCTGGCTACCAGTAATCTCAGCCATCTGTTCAACGTCAGGGAAGTAGAATTTTCCGTCCTCGGGCTTATTGTCCGGCGTAAACATGTTTTTCTTCCAAGGTTCCCGTAGCAAGCCTTCGACTGTGACCTCTCCCTGGGGGAGACCCTCGGGCCTGTCCTTCTGATCCTTCATTTTCTTCGAGATCCAGCCTCTGTTTATCAGGACAGTGCTTTCTCCCTCCCCTCTCTCCAGCGGCGTCACAACGATAAAACCATCCTCACCCTCGCGCATGCGAGGACCAACGAGCATCTCTTGGTCATGTCGGAGGCGTCCCGTAGTGTAGACCCGTCGATAATCAAATTCGGAAATGGCGTCTGGGTCGATCTGTGGAGGCAGCGGAAGAGGAGGTTTGACGAGTCGGTCTTCATATTTTGCGATCAGCTTGGTCTTCCAATCGAGGCGTTGGATTTGCCAAGTGCCGAGCGCGAACGAGATGATAGGAATTAGAGCTGTAATGAGAATATATTTCATTAGTGTCCCACCAGCCTTTACCAGTAGCTATGCCTATGGTTGTATCATACCTAAGATGATCAAACCTGGTCCGTGTTTTCGCCCGGTACGAACAATTTGCGCAGGTTGATCCACAACCGACAGCCATCGCGGATCATCGGCCAGCTGCTTGTTATAGAACCGAATCTGTTGACGGCGACATCTGGCGCAAATCGAATCCAGCTTGAACGCCATCCGGGGACCCCGAATCGACGCGGCGATTGGCGGCTGCCATGAGGTTGCTGCGGTCCGTTGCAGGACCGAAAAGATCGACCGCATGGTCAATTTGGACGAGGGACTTTACTTTCCCTTATCGCAGAACCAATTGCTGTTTTAGTCTGGGCGGCGGAAAGCGTGTAAGAAAAAGAACGATTCAAGCGTTCGTCGAATTGAATCCCGAGGGGCTCGTGATCGGCAACGGCCTTCTTTTCCCCGACGGAGTTAAAGCTATCGCTTTACTTACGCTCCATACTTCATACATCGGTCTTAACAGCGCTAAGTTACAATGTTCTTCTCTGGAACCCTGCAGGAAGGTATCGCTTTAGCGGTCTCGCAAGCTAAAGCGGTAATATGCTTTGTTCGAGGTGTGTCCGCTGCGATTTCTCCAAACGCATACATCGATACATACATCAGATGAGCTCCACCGTTACCCACTTGCTAACCAGCTGGATGCATTTCAACAGATAATGATCAAACAAGTAACGCCTGGGAAGAGGATTATTTTGCTGACAAGGATGTATGTATTTGCCTCAGCTCTCCTTCTAGTTTTCCTTCGTACGTGATCGCTAATCGCTGGTGGGACATAGTTCGCGCAACTACTCGAATCGAGATCTGTCCTGTTGCGACTCACTAAGGATTCCCAGGAGGCTACATTTTTGACGTCCTTTTGTCCCGTAACGAAGTTTCCTGCTGTTGTGGTAATCAAGTATGTGTGAAGACCTTCCCAGACATTAGGGTTATTGATTGACGGTTGTGTAGGAATGGAATGCTGCGGGAATATATTGTGCCGGATATCACGAAGGATGACTTTCATAGTCGGTTAAAGGCTGCTCTAGAGGACAGTAAACCGGCTGATGAGCTCAATCCGAACTCACCGGCTCAAGGTGCCCAGGGCCATACTACGAGTCCATCCGCCAGTTCTCATACCGCGCCCGCGACTGCACCGCAGCCTGAGCCCTCACCAGCTCCTGTCCCTGCTGTTCCGGCGCCAGCGCCAGCTTCAGCTGAGCCGCAAGGAAGTGAATCACAAAGACAACAAGGTCAACAGGAATATAATAGCTTACGTGCTGGCGGGAGGACGTATAGAGTTGAAACACCTGGCCAGACACAGAAATCTCAGCCGAAGAAGCAAGAAACGCCGAAATCGCAAGGAATAGGGAAGCCCAAGGATAGCACAAAAAAGCAGAAGGAGCCAGAAACAAAGGCTACGAATAACAGCGCATCCGTCAAAATCACGAACACGCCCGCGGAGGAGCGCAAACCACAAACACCAACACCGCCCAAACAATATCGGCTTCAAGTCCGTCTGTTCGATGGAAGTTCCATCCGGTCCAGCTTTTCACCTTCGCAAACCATCCGCGGAGATGTCCGTCCCTGGATTGACAGCCAGCCTGGGGATGAAAAACGCCCGTACAATCTCAAACACATCCTGACTCCCCTGCCGAATCGGACGCTTACTATCGCCGAGGAAGAACAGACGCTCGCGGAGCTCGGCCTGGGCTCCACGGCGAATTTGGTCATGGTTCCAATCAATACATATACGGAAGCCTATTCGGCCACTGGATCCAGCTTACCAGCCCGGGCTGTATCGTCTGCATATGAACTTGTTTCCTCCGCGGTTGGCACCGCCACGGGTCTCGTAGGCTCCTTCTTCGGTTATGGTCAACCAGCTTCGACTCCGTCTGCGACCCCCCAAGCCAGCACGTCCTCCCCGTCTCCGTCTGGCGATAGCGCATCCAGGCCACGGCCGCCTGCATCGAGAGGTCCTATCATCCGGACACTGAGAGACCAGCGCAATGAACAGAACGATAGCCAATTTTACAATGGAAACCAGGTACGTAATTAAAATAGCGCGGCTAGTCTAAAGTCATAACGTAGGTGGATCCACTGACTTGCATAGCTTAACTTCGAGCCTCGACAAGACCCCGGCAGGTAACCAGATCGGTAATAGGAACTAGTTAGTGTAAATTAAGCCTACGGTGTTTACGGTTCTTGCTTAATTGATGCTGTGGCCGGGTTCATCTGTTGCTTTGACGGCTATAACGCCACACGGACTTTTTTGGTAATATTAGCAAGGGACGTGTCATCCTTCGCTGTCAACTGTGAGGGAAACCAGTATGTAAACTGGACTAAAGCTGTGCTTGTTTTCTGCGCAATGCAGGCCTCTTCAATACTTTCAGGACAGCCCAAACCATGGAAGAGTGGAATAGTTGTCTTTAGATATTCATCTAGCTCTATCTTTCGAGCAGATGGAAGTGAGTAAATATAAGGTAAAACAAAGAAAAAAGTCATCAGGTCAACCCCGACGGAAGTGGTATACAGTAGAGGAATATTACGCCGCTATGCAAACACAGTCCATATCCAATCCAATCATCGCACCGTTCCGATCAAGTCCGCAAACTGAACCGGTTCAAATCCAGAATTCCCGTCCTTAATATATTCCCCAGCGCGAAACATAATACATTAACTTTAGTAGGGCTTAGCAGCGGCCTGGCAAGCTTTCTGTAATACCAGTTAGCACCCGTGATAACCACCATATCTCGGCATTCAAAAGGAGAAACATACAAGCTGGTCCAGGTACCATCCGCAAATGCTGATGTTGCCCTGGTTCTCGTCCATGCACTGGCGGAAGTTGCGAACGTCCGTCTCGCAGGCAGGGTTGCCATAGGAGCTGTTGGCGGTGTTGCTCTGCCACAGGCCAGTGTCCATGGGCTGGGCCTGGGCGGGAGCGGCCTGTTGGGCCTCGGCGGGGGCGCTGGAACCGCCGCTGAAGAAACCACCGATGGCGTGGCCGATGGAGGAGCCGACTGCGACACCACTAGTTGATGTTAGTCTTTTCTTTTCTTTGATGCCTTCATTCTCTTTGTGTGAAGGGAATGCTGTTTTGTGGTCTAGCCGGTTGTGTTGTTGTTTTTACGATCCTCCGCCAGAGACGTTGTTCTTATAGAAAAGTCCGAGGGGAACTTACGCAGCGGTAGAGGCCATCTGGCCGAACAGACCAGGCCCGGCGCTCTGCTGGACAGGAGCAGCCTGGGGAGGAGGGTGAGGATAGGCCTGCTGGGGAGTCGACTGCGGGTGAGCAGCAGTCGAGTGAGGCTGGGACTGCTGGGCCGAGGGAGCAGCGGCCGGTCTGGCGGGAGCGGCGGTAGGCCTGGTGGGAGCGCTGCGCGCAGGGCTAGGAGCGGCACCACGGCGTTGACGAGGCATGTTGATTAATGTAGATGTGGTTCTAGGAGTTGGAAAAACGAAAAGATGTTGATGGGTGGGGATAGAGAGCTGTTTGACGGCAAACGGACGGGTATATAAAAGAAGAGACTCGAACGTCGGCGGAGAAGTTGTCGAAAAGTCCGATCGCTATTTCCTCTCTCCCGATTGGCCCGACGATCGCAGGGGGGTCTCCGGGACGGCAAAAACCATGTGCGGTATTGGTATTACAAACAGTATTGCGGGTTAGCGCCCTGTTCCTTCAGAGTGTACGAGTAACTGATGTACTGGCGATACCGCTGCTCCTCCCTCTTGCCTAAAGTCCGGCGGACTTTAGGGACCTATTTTTACATTGGATGACTCTTCATCTATAAGGAACATACTGGAATATTTCACACTTCTAGTATGTAGTCATGACTTCGATAGACATAGCAGTCGTTTATGACTCATGCTTATATCTCTCTATCTGACCCACAAATTGGAGGCTGAGTCGCTCCTATGATTTAAGCTTACGGCATTGAAAATAGCTCAAGAGATTCAGAAATGCAACTTGCCACTTAATCTATTTAGTCAACTAAGTAGTTTCCTGAAGATTGATCCCATGAAAAAAGCCAGTTCAGGCAGATTCTCAATAGACCATTGTTAGATCACTCGCTACACGAGCCTAGGGCTCATCCTGTGGCTCGTGTGCGCGGTGTCTGGGGCATCCACATAGTTCGTACATGTAGATACGTATATCGCAACAGAGTGCCCCAAGTGCTGTAAAGGGATGAGGCAGCCATCGTTAGATACAATAGAAGCGCCTTCAACATATACCTGGAGAGAAGCACAGCAGTGCTGGGATGCACGCATTTTGCGAAAGTGAAGGCTCATCGAATGCAAACTCAAAGATCGGAACCAGCCGATCATACTTCCTCTTCGGCCCTGTCAGACGATATGGTGCAGCATTTGAAGTTGTTCATTGTGCCTTCCTTGCCTTCCGGGATTCTTGCTTCTTCTTTCTCCGTTCCTTCTTCTCGTCTTTGAGATTGTCCTTACTGCGCTTTTTCTTGTTCTTGGCAGATGTACGTTTAACGGTGTTGTCTACTTTCGTCTCTTTGCTCTTCTTCGCCGAATCTCCGGACTGTGTTGTTGCCTTCGCTTTTTCACTATCGGATTCACTGTCTGAACCAGATTCAGAATCGGCCCCAGACTTCATCGACGAGGTCTCAGGTGCTGCTGCTGCTGCCTTCTTGGCTAATAAGGAAGCCTTCAACTGGGCACGCGCCTTCTCCTTCGCTTGTTGTTCTTTGCGCTCCATATCGAATTTGTCATTCCCGGCCTTGTAACGTTAGCACTAGAGTATACATGATGAAGTAAAAAGGACATACAAGACCATGCTTGATGAAGCGACTTGCAGCCTGCTTGTCAAGTGTCAATGTCCGCTGCTCTGGCTCTGCTTCCAGCGCCTTAATTTTCTCAAAGTATTGCTTCACTCTGGTTAGTTCTCGGAACACAGGATGTTCTTTAGCATTGACGCCATGGAGACGTAAATAAGCTGCGAGCACGTTAGCATGTCAATGAGGGAGTGTCAGGATCGTGATTGCCGTACAGAATATCAGAGATTCCAAGGCGTAAGTAATCAGAACGTGAAACTTTGCCTTGTCCAACACAGGAAGTTTTTTTTGACGTGTCAGTAATGGCACTATTCAGGACAGGCCCCAGAGCTTCTTCCAGATCATCGACATGATCGTCCAGCTGCTCAAGCAGCGGCAATAAATCGGTTGCGTCCATCTTCTGAATGATGATTGTCGGCACTGAGAATTAGTTCACGGATAATATCAATTTTTTATCTACAGGCGGTGTATAGGGCGGTCAGTAGCTCAGTCTTAATCTTATCGCGGAGCTCGGCCGTCGTCGACTTTGGTCCTGGCAGCCTCGCAGACAGTTATACTAATTTTTTTCTGTTGTTTTTGTGTCACTCATAGAGGACTTATTGTCTTGTAATGCACAGCTAGTCAATTCTATGACTGCTGCTTAGGCTTTGAGCATCCCGAAGACCAATCTGGTCTGTATATCACGCCATTCCTCCAAAGTGTTGTCCATACTAGTACGCCGTCCGCGTTTGCGGACTGGCATTTCCAAATTCTGCCTTTCTGCAGCAGGCGATGCTCAGTGCGGTTTTACCGTTCGTTATATGGCAACATGGCATCAGGACGCCGAGGAAGCGTCGAGAGATAGCGGCAACCGCCGGCTTTCGGGCCGCATACATATCCTGGGCCTTGGGAATGTTGGAACATTCGTCGCTCACTCTCTGGCCAGCCGGCCGTCTCCGCCTCCTATCACGCTTCTGATGCACACTCCCAATATTTATAGGTCCTGGTTAGAGAGAAAGAAATGTCTAGCGATCAATACTAATGGCCTGGATGATGTAAAAACGGGATTTGATGTCAATGTGCTGAATGACAAGACATGGTACTCAGTACCATACTGGAATAAGGATGGCACAGCAGAGAATGGAAACGTTAGCATTGACGGATATACTGAAGAGGTCGATAATGAGGAACTCTTCGCGCAGCCTGCCGACGAGCCTATTGAATGTCTGATCGTTGCTGTTAAAGCACCTGTGACCGTGGCAGCGATGGACTCTGTCAAGCGCCGCCTGACGCCTGATTCAACGGTCCTGTTCCTCCAAAACGGAATGGGCACCATCGATGAGCTGAACGAGAAAGTTTTCCGAGACCCTCAACGACGTCCACACTACATGTCTGGTGTTATCTCCCACGGTTTAGCGCGAAGGAAAGAGCCATTCCAAGTCAGCCATACAGGCGTTGGCACAACTATCTTGGGTTCTGTCCTACCGGCAGATGCCGTTTCCTCAGCAAATCAAGGCGATGTGGATTGGGCCCCTAGTACCAAATATCTGTTGCGTACACTGACGCTCACACCACCGCTTGTTGCTGTTGCGGAAACTCCATCCGCCTTGATGCTATACCAGCTTGAGAAGCTCGCGATGAACTGTGTGATCAATCCGTTGACAGCGATAATGAACTGCAAGAACGGAGAACTCCTCTACAACTATAGCTTCACACGTATCATGCGGTTGCTCCTCATTGAGATCTCAAGTGTCATCTGCGCTTTGCCCGAATTACAAGGCATTCCTGGAATTGAAAGCCGGTTTTCTCCCGAGCGACTGCGGATGATGATCGTGCAGCTGGCTAACAAGACAGCCAAGAATCATAGTTCGATGTTGCAGGATATACTGGCGAGAAACCCTACGGAAATCGAATACTTGAATGGTTACATCGTACGTAGGGGCGAGGAACTCGGTATCAAGTGTGTGGTGAATTATATGATGCAGCACCTGGTTCTCGCCAAACGCCTCCAAACGAAGCAGGTAGAGTCGGGTGCTATTCCGATTGATCTGCTCCGAGAGCCCAAAATATGAACATGCTCTCACACCTGTACAATATAATGAATTCGACTTTTGTGATACCATGTGCAAGCAATTCCACTTCATGATCCCTATCGATTTAACCGGATACAGCTTTGGAGGCCTTAGCACAGAGGTCTCTAATCTGTGTCCATCGTTTCTTCAGCATCTTTGCCCTTTGCTGATCTTTCTGGTCTGTTTGGCTAGATCCCTTTTCCTCCAAGGTGGTGATTACTGTGTCTGCTTCATTCGAATACGCTCTGATCCACCCTTGGATGATAGCCTCCGATTTCTTCTCATCGGCACCTTTGGTGGAATAACCAAGTACATAGTTCCGCCAGTCTTCCAGTGACATATAGTTTATGCACGCGGCAATCTCGGTACGGTAGCACACGCCGGTGGCCGTTAACTGGTAGTTACTGCGCGTATAGGTTAGACATCGACGAAGTTGCCTGAGGCAAAAGTGATCAATTAGAGAGAAACACCGGAATTTTGAAACATACCCATAGTACTGCTGGAACTCTAATTCCTCTTGTAGCGATGGGCCAAGGTCCTTTAATATTATATCATCTAAATATAAGGTTTCGGACTCATTCTCATCGAGATAGAAGCCATCTGCTGTGGTTAGCCCGCGGCGAGAAAGCAGAAGCGCACGGTTGTGACAAACATTCAGCAAACAAGAAATCATTCGGATGAGGTCCATAACTCATGTATATTTCTTCTCCTTCATCTGTGGCACATGGTCAGAAGGTCCCGACAAGAGAAGCAAGTTCAGCTACAACACATACCATAGTGTTTAGTAGCTCGGAAAACATATTTCTCTCCATCGAATTTAACATTGCACTATAGCCCCAAACAAGGTAAGTCGGTGTTGAAGACACCACCCTGTATGGTTGAATCCACATACCGCAACATCAGAATGATTAAAATAATCAGCAAACGGCAGCAGCGCCATGGCGTCATTTCGATCTTCCGGCGGCTCCTGGCCTGGCATCAAGTAGAAAAAGCTTCTCGTATTCACTATAAGCCAATGGTACGAGAACATCTCCCAATCGATATCCGGGAAAACAGATACGACGATATCCCATGCCGTGCGTAGTCTTTGTTCTTGCTGGGCAAGAAGATTCTGATGGGATGTCTCGTACTGGAGCTTGTCTCGACTTTGTATACTATGCCAATGGCTCGAGATTGACGGTGGCAGGCAGTTCCGCAGACACTCGGACCACAACATGGGCATACTGTCTTCGAAGTCTTGGCGACTAGGCCAGGTCTTTCTCCAGGCCTTGAACTCTTCCAGGTCTTCTAGATCGCCATTCGTGAGAAATGCAGCGTATAGCGCATGGGTGGGTGTCCCGTCGGGGAATTTGCCAGTAAAAGAAGATGGAATCCGCTCCGCGGTTAGCATTGCTTTCAATGGTACAATCACAATGGCTTCGTCTTCCTAGCTCAGGGTTAGATTACATTGATGCGACGTATAATGACGCTGATAGCCGAGGAGTAATCGCATACTTCTATATTTCGCGTGGCTATCATTCCTAAACCGCGACCTGGAAACCGCGCAGGCCCGACTCCATTCGCAATGATTCCTTGCGAAATAGCCCATTCTGTGAACTGCTCATGTTCCTCTCCAGGCCACCAGTCTGGCTTCATTGTCGCGGGATTTTGAGTTCTTAGTGGGGAAGTATAGCTAGTACGGAAGAAAAAAGAAAAGAAAAAGGTGTGAAAGAAAAAAAGAGCAAGTAACTTTGTTCTAGAAAGATGGAGTCAATACTTCAATCTCTCATTCAGAAGCAGCTACTGAAATATTCCTCTTGAGGCTAGTCACAAGGTCGAAGGCTCATATTCATCTAGTGGTCGAATGAGGCCGTAAAAAGCAACATGATAGGGCTGGGCGATAAATTGCTTATCGATCTTTATCAGTTGTACGGCGTCGCACAGACACCGGCAACGCCAACCGGAGATCTTCCCCGGGCATCGTACCACTCTACAACCTTTAAGTGTCGCATTCTTTCAAAGGGTCATGTCCATAGAGGCATGTCGCCTTCTGCGCTTAAAATGTCGGTTCTTGGGAGGCGCGGAGCTCTGAGTCTCCGCGAATTGACCTTGTCAACACCTGTTACGGTAGTAAGCTGTCGCACGCGGTCTTTCTCCGTGAACAATCGCCCGCCGCCAAAGTATCCCGGCCATGTCCCGTTGAACTTCGTCGAGCGTGGTGCTCTAGCTGTTGGGTCTGCTGTAGGAGCTTTGCTGAACCCTCGGAGAGCAGGTGAGAGGCTTTCTTATTTCCTCTAAATTTCCATAGCAACCAATTCTATAATTCGCATCGAACCTACAAAATTGATGAACCATAAGAGAACCGTACGCTAACACCAACGCCCCGGAGCTATATAGATCTCATCGCAGCCTGCGGAGAAGCAACTGCAACTCCCTACTTCATCTACCGTCTCCGTGACGCCATGCTCTCGGACCCAACCGGCCGTCAGATCCTCCGCGAACGTCCGCGCATCACCTCCGAAACCCTCCGCCTACCATACCTCCGCTCTCTTCCCGAGAACTCCGTCGGTCGCACCTATGCCGCCTGGCTCGACCGCGAAGGCGTCTCCCCCGATACCCGCGACAACGTCCAGTACATTGACGACGAGGAATGCGCATACGTTATGCAGCGCTACCGGGAGTGCCACGACTTCTATCACGCAGTGACGGGCCTGCCAACCTTCGTTGAGGGGGAGATAGCGCTGAAGGCGTTCGAGTTTCTAAATACGCTTATTCCCATGACCGGGTTGAGTATGTTTGCTGCTGTGAGATTGAAGCCTGCGGAACGGGAGCGGTTCTTTGCATTGTGGTTACCATGGGCGGTCAAGAGTGGGCTTAAGAGTAAGGAGTTGATTAATGTTTATTGGGAGAAGATTTTGGAGAAGGATGTGGATGAGTTACGGAGTGAGTTGGGTATTGAGAAGCCCCCCGACATGAGGGAGATCAGGCGCATGATTCGGGAGCAGAAAAAGCGGGAGAAGGAGAGGTTGCAGCAGAGTCCATAGTTTTGGTCTTGTGGGGTTGTTAATGTGTATATTATTTATTATTAGATGGCCTCCGGCAGCCGTGTATTCGATACAGTCATGAACTCTTCCCTTCATCTTAACTCACGTTAGAAGTATTGTTGCAAGCGGGTTGATTGGTATCACAATTGCTAGGGGAAAACCAATCCTTTTGTCAATTAAGCAAGGTGTTAATATATGGTTGAGTATTAATGGGATAGAGTGCTGTCGAAGAATTGCACCATATACCGACCGCAAACGCCTAGGACCAGTTTGTTTCTGTTTCATAGCGCATGAAGATAAGGGATGAAGGTATCAAGAGGAGACCCGTAAGAAGTTTCTTACAGGTTTAAGCAACATTCGCTGTTTTGCAATTCGACTTTTCACAAATCCAACAAATCATCATCGTCATCCCAGCCTCCTTTACGCCGATTGAATACAACCTTATGCTCTTCCTCATCCTTGCGCTGGTTCTCAGCCACAGCATTCAGGAGCTGCTTGAGTTGATCCTCCGAAACCTTTTGTCGCAATTGGCCTGTCTGTGCCAACATGAGCAGCCGGTTCTCAATATCGGCGGCGCGCGACTCTTTCACGAGGCGAATGCGACCCAGGCGGTCGGCGGCTTCGGGTTCGAGGATCTGGTTCAGAATCGCCGAGCGACGTTCGGCTGATAGACACATTGTTAGATATAAATCCTGGGGCCAAAGTGAAGCTACAACGGCTAATATCATGCCCCTCTCACTTTCTCGCGGGGTCGTGGGGGGTGCGTAGGAGATAGCATACCTTCTGCTTGTCTGTTAAGTAAAGCATTAGTACTATTTAATCTTTTGCGCTATGCAAATCCAAAGCGAATACTTTTTCTTCGAATAGCACATAAAATTCAAGACAAGGGAAAAAAGAAACTTACTTCCTCTGATCATCCTGGCCGTCTGGAACGGCACCACCTCGTGGTCCACCTCCCTGCTGCTGCTGAAGCTGTGCCAGACGGGCTCTCCTGATCTAGCTTGGGAGTCAGCAGATGGTTCGCAAGCTTGATCATCGTCTGATGCGGCCATGCAAGATCAGGATAGCAGCGCTACAAATTTTAGGAACGCACCTCTTCCAGCTCTGCGTCGGCCATGGTTCTTTATTGACTAGTTAGGTGATTATAGTACAAGGTGATGGACACAGTTGGGTTAGACACAAATGGCCGTGGATAGTCTAGAACACTTCCAGGGATCGTTATGGTATGACTGCAAGGACTATACTGTAAGTCCACAGTTCACTTGACAGTGTGGATTTGTTGGAGAAGAGTTTCCAACCCCACCTTTGCCACAGCCTGAGGCACTCAGGCCAGTTGGGGTTCGGTTCCCGACGGATGTGGGGCGCCATGAGGGTGTTTACCCAAAGAGGTAAAATCAGGAAATGGCGGGACTCACGGAGAGAAGATAGACTAGCGCGCGCGTGTGTGTGTTATCTCTGTATCTCGGTATCTTGTACACATTAGGTACTCTGTACTAATGCCCAAGTACAGCATCGACTAAGTTTGGTGTACATACTCCGTACAGGAACCTCCTACTACGAACTGGGATAGACACTGTACAAGAGTTACACCGCAATTGCAACTTGTGATAAATCTGCCCATTGATTGACTGCGGCTTCGCTGTCTCAGACTTCATACAGATGTTCCCCTTGATTGCTGCATGTGTCGTCATCGCTTTCCGCCAAGAATTGAGTCGTCCTTATCCACTCCCGATAGATGGCGAGACTAGACTATGTCCGATCGTCAAACTAAATATAAGTGCCTACTTAAGTATTGACTATTAATATTAGTCGGAGAAAATGGGCCGGTTCGTGTAATTACCAGCATTGGTAGTTTCGTACTGTCAATAATTCATTTCCGGAGGTCCCAATTTGCGGTAAATTTTTGTCGTTTGTAAGTGGAATTGTGTGGGTTTTAATTAATTAATTCGATGAATAAAAAGAAAAGAAAAGAAAAGACTGACGCGTTAGATCTCGCGCACGGCTGGAAAGCTACCCGGGGAGGATGAACCGAGAGATTGGATGGGAACGTGGCACGTAGTTGGTTGTACTGAGAGTAGGTACCTACTATACGTAGTAGTAGAATGTATGTACCTAGGTACTCCCGGACTATCAGCCATGAAACACCTGACCAAGACTGGCTTGCAGTGAGATGCAGGGATCCAACTTTTGCACCTGATCGTCGTCATTCAGGCAACTCTGCCCGTGACGGAGGGGACGTGACCGAGGCGATCGGCTTGGCCCAATCCGGATCGCAGGTGACTAAGCCCCGGTGTGATTTGCCTCTGCAAGTGAATTGAACCAACCATCTTTCCAAATTCCTCTCTAACGACTAGTAACCCCGGCGGACTAAAACTAAAGCTGCTGCGATCCGTCTGCTCTCAACTTGCGATCGATTTCCTTCAATCGTTCAAAAAGAGGGGTTCCTTCTTTCCTTCTCCGACGACACCCTTCTTTCGTCACTATTCATACCCACTAGATTGCCGTCCTAATATCTTCCCCCCTCTCCCCTTCCAGTCTATCCTTTACAACCCTCACTCTCTTTCATTCTCCGCCAATACTCTCCGTTCTCTTTCCGACCGCCGTCCCGATCCTTTATCAAACTCAATGCTTCGTATGCCGACCAGTTGATCACGCTCCGGTCTGCGCGCTGGCGGGGATTGCGTTACCGTGACACCCCCCTACTGCCACTGCTACATGCAGGACCATCCCGACGCTCTCTTTTCACTTTGCCCGGTACATTCCAGATGCGAAAGACGGACCAACTGAATTTTTCGTGGTTGTGACACCTACATCCGGTCTCCGTGCTTTCCATATCATTTTAAAATTTTAACCCGACCGTTCACCACCATGGCCGAGTACGTTGATGCCATTCCTCCAAGTATAGATCTAGTCGCTAAATCTTGTGAACAGTCTAATTGCTTTTCATTCCTACTATTCACGCCATAGCTTCCTCTCCCCGTCGACAATGATCCCGCGTACCAACAACCACAAGCGATCCAATTCCTCCGAGAGCAGGGCTCTTTCTCCCGATAGGACCCTTACGAAAGCCAGGTCGGCGAATGACCTCTCCGGAATCGCAACCGGTAAACCTGTACCAACAGTACGCTCAACAAGTGTTGGGAACTTTCCCGAGAGTGGATTCAGCACCCTGAAAGACCCGAGACTCTTGAGCAGCTCAGTAGAGACAGAGCCATCGGGACCACCATCTCATCACCCGGACCTGAGTAACGAAGTTGCTGCCTTGAGCGTAAAACTGGTCCAAGCAATCAACAATCAAACGACTCTGGACGATACCTTGGTTGCCACCCGTCAGGAACTCGAACAAGCTCAGACCAAGATCCGAGCATTGGAGTCTGAGAACGAGAAATATCGACAGGATATCGATCAGGAAGTCTTAATCAAGAAAGCCGACGTAGACTATGAAATCTTACGACTAAAGGCTGCATTGGCAGACGAAAAGGCACAGCGCGCCCTTGTCGAGAAGGAGAAGAAGGGTATTGAACAAGAGCTGGAGACGCTTACCGCTGCCCTCTTTGAAGAAGCTAACAAGGTAAATTATCTGATGATCGTCCTATTTTCTAGCATGAGCAAAGGACTAACTTCGTTTCTCTACAGATGGTCGCCGCCGCTAAGCTTGAGCGTGAGGCGGTAGAGAAGAAAAACGAACAGTTGCGTGCACAAGTGAAGGATACTGAATCTTTACTTGCGTCACACCAAGAACAACTGGCAGAGCTTAAGTCTGTTTTGCAGGAGATGAACATTACCAAAGATGACACCGAAGCGGGTACGATTGCGTCTACCGCACCTGCATCTCCGGCGAAACAGCAGCAGCAGACTCCAACAATCGTTAAACAAAGTGCGGAAACACCCGTGCTTTCCGAACCGGCTCCCATCCGGGAAGAATTAGCCCCAGGTCCATCCACTAGTTTTCCTCATCTGATTCGGCCTATATGCCGAACAGATATCCATGCATTCGAAGAGTTCAAGGAATTATTCACCTTGCCCAGTGTCTCCAAACCGCCCAGTCGTGCCACAAGTGGAACGTATACCGGCTTAAATGTTATGAGCTTAGCCGCGGGTTTCAGCAGTGGTGGATTTGGATCTGCGTCGTCGTCACCCGCTAAGTCTCAAACTCACTCTCCTAATGGAAGTATCTCCTCGCCGCAACCAGCGAACTCGCATATTCCTCTGAAGGAGACGCGTTTCTACAAGCGTGTGCTGAATGAAGACATCGAGCCAACACTCAGACTTGATGCAGCCCCTGGGATTTCGTGGCTCACACGTCGTTCGGTCCTGAGTGGTATTTGTGACGGAAGTCTTGTGGTTGAGCCCATGCCAGCATCGGCGAAGAAATACGAATTTCCTTGCTCACTGTGTGGTGAGCGCAGAACGGGTCCCGTCAATGAGAGAACCCACCGTTTTCGGACGTCCGAGAATGAGACGGCTCAACGGTACCCCCTGTGTGTCCTCTGCCTAGAGAAGGTTCGTTCTTCCTGCGAATTCACTGGCTATCTCCGTCTTATCCTTGACTCGCATATCCGCGTTGGCGACACGGAAGACGAAAAGGATGCCTGGGAAGAAACAGTTCGCTTAAGGGAGAGAATGTTCTGGTCCCGCATTGGGGGTGGTGTCGTCCCCATTTTCACACAAACCAGTAGCATGGAAAGTCATTCGTGTACCAATGAGCAGGAGCCAGAGCCTCTGACTGATGATCACATCGAAACCCAAGGCGATGTCTCCCATGAGGCCCAAGAAGTCCTAGTCACGAATAGCAATAATGACGATGAATTGAACGATCACGACCCACGCAGAGCGTCTTTGAGTGATGATCCTTTTGAGTCCGCTGCCTCAGCATCTCCGGTTAGCAGCACGGCAGTCTCAGCGCCGTACGATAGCAGCGAAGCTCAGAATTATGGCAAAGACGAGACTTCTGAACAGCCCATTGAGCAAGTAAATGTCTGCGTGATTGCCAACCCTGG